GGCTTTGGCATCATGACTATCTCTTCTATAATGGCAGTCTCAACTCAAGAAACTGGTTTGGACTACCTATCTTTTATGATTATTACACCAAAGCTCCCTTCCATTAGCATGGATAACTGAACACTGACTATGAGGCATGGTCATAAAATAAACAGGCTGACTTGCCAATTACTTTGTAATGAAAGCATGAGTCAATATACAGTTGCCAAAACACAATCACCATGTTGCTAAAAATAAGTTGTTTGATGCTAAGATATTCTATTTCTACACAGATTTGACTTTTGCTTGCAATTATAACATGTAAATTTTGTTTATTTTTCATTCAAGAGAGAAAAGTGATCCTGTTTATGTGATATTAAATTACAGTTTAACATACCAAGTACAGAATGACAATAGGAATTTAGTCATTCAAATATCTGCCAATATCATTATATCTAACACTGATAACTTTTGGTAAGCTTTTAATAATATACATTTACTATAGCTGAATAAAAATAAAGACACTGTTTTTAAAAGTAGCATAACCAAAAAATAAATTCTTTGTGGTATAATTGCCTATAATCTATAAATCTTATTACTTCTCAGGTCTCTGACATTAATAATGAATGTTTTCTTATTTTTCAGGGCTTAATCTGTTTCACGTCTTGAAAATGAAGATACATTTCTCTCTTTAAAAAAAAGTCAAAGAAATTTTTAATGGCATGTAGTCTCCAATTCAAATAGAAAATACTATTTAAAAATGCCAACTTGAGTGGACCAGTTTTTTGTTTGCTTTTTTAGATGGAGTGTCCCTCTGTCACCAGGCTGGAGTGCAGTGGCGCGGTCTCAGCTCACTGCAACCTCTGCCTCCCAGGTTCAAGAGATTTTCCTGCCTCAGCCTCCTGAGTAGCTGGGATTACAGGAGTGTGCCACCATGCCCGGCTAATTTTTTATATTTTTAGAGACAGGGTTTCACCATGTTAGCCAGGATGGTCTCAATCTCCTGACCTCGTGATCTGTCTGCCTCAGCCTTCCAAAGTGCTGGGATTATAGGTGTGAGCCACAGCGCCCAGCCTGACTGGACCAGTTTTAATTAGAGCCAAATAATTCTAGTATAGAACTAATTTTTGAGAAAGTAAAGTATGTAAACAAAATGGTTCCTTTTGTACAATAACAACTTTTCTGTTTTGAGAGAAGGTATCTAATTCAGTAACTTCACTTATTTTAACAATAGCAATGAAACAGGTAGTAAAGTAATAGATGTCACAAAATCCATGCATTTAAGCATAATCCACTTCTTCAAGTCTTCGCTTTGAGTTTATTTATTCTTACTTTATACATAAGTCTAATGAACGTAGTCATCTGGTCTTCAAAATGAAAGCAGATCAGAAGGCACATTATGAAGGAGGAGAAGGGCTACTGTTACAGGCATACTTAAGCAAGCAGTAATAGAAATGGAAGAATTAGAACGACTATTAAAAAACATGAAAACTCAAATGAGCATATCAGAATGGAGCCATTTAGTACAGGAACAAACAGCTCTCAATGTCTGATTAGTCTATGAGAGATTAATAAGTAATGTTAATGCTGATCATTTTGATACTGAACAAATAAAAATACATTCATATATTATTTAAGAAGACAGTAATGCATATCAATTTTATAAAGATTTCCTTCAGAGATTATTCCAAAAGATTTTAGTGCTGAAACAGGTTCAAACTCTGCAGGAAACTGGGATATCTAGAGTGACTCCCTCCCCAAATATTCAAATTAGCCAGTTCTTATAGCCATCTGTAGTCTCATACCAATAATTCTAGAACATAAGTCTTGATGAACAGAGTTGAAGTTATATTTACAGTACCATAAGTTTTAAATCTGTGTACTGTACTAAGAACAATGAATGAGAACAATATATTTCACATTTTCCTGAAATATACACAATTATTTATTCAAAAATGATGGCCCAATTTTTCTTATAGTTGAATTCATTAATGAAGTCCTAGAAACATCATTATATAAAAACTGAATTAGAACTTCAAATCTATGGCAATCACATATTCAACTAAGTATTTGTTTTAGCAAGTTTTTAATAAGAAACTAAGCGGCAAACACAAGAATGCTAAGCAGCCAAACAGGTATCACAAAGTCCATGCACTTTACTGACAGAACAGCCCCTTCGCTCTCTTTCAGTCTACTTACTCTTATCTTAGACACAATTCTAGCAAGCTTGGCAATCTGGTTTCTCAGTCCACAGCAGATTAGCGGCAGCAAATTAGGGGCCTATTGCAGGAGGCAGGCACACAAGACAGCGGCAAAAGTGACAGCTGATTATAAGGGAAGATAGAGAAACTGTGAAAAACAGGCATAACTCAAAAAAGCACAGCAATGTCAGGTCATATTGTAAAGTGGTACCTGACATATATCTCAGTAGCCCCTGAGTGTGAGTTTCTATTTATCACCCCATGATAGAAACTGATATTCCTAAAGATGATAGAAAAAGTTAAATCACATTCTACAACTCTAGACAAAGTAGAGATGTACTACATTTAGTTATTAAATTATTAAAATGGATTTGTTTTAGTTAGCTGAAAAGTTAACTTAGGCAAATTAATCACCTGTCTATGACGACAGATAAATGAACTGTTACTGGATTTTAAAAAATATTTTCTCTTCTAAAATATTTGTAGCTTTATTTTCTAATTAAGTGTGAATTGCATAGCCATTTTCTTGTGAGCAGAATTGGAAAAATAAATCAATCTTTATGCTTTGTCTGGTTGTCATTCCTAGCATAATATCTACTTTAGTTCAAACAGTAATTTAGCTGAGCTATAACACACTCTTATAGTATTTAGTTCGTTTCTTTGTTTGGTTTGGGTATAGAAACAATATGCTATGATTAAACCAAATCAGTTGAACTTTTACTCCCATGTGGTTTCTCATAATTTGTCCAAAATATTTCATATTTTATATTACTGATGGGAAGTGAAGTCACTGGAGTGAAATGACCTGTAGGGTCCCCTTCTGGGGTTCACACACTGCTGACTTACAATTTTGTGGAATGTATCAGAACTTAATTTTTTTTATGCTTTAACACTAAAAGCTTTATATCTTTTCTTATGTAAATCAGAATATTACTTTTTTTAAGAAAATTGAGTTTTAAATGGACTTTCCTGTAGGTAGACAAAGAATAAAAATCCTGTCTTCAAGACTGACCTAAACAGACTCTCACATGCATTCTTCCATTAAATACTAGGTTTGTCCTGGTAAAACAAACTACAGAAATGTCTGTATTAAAAGTTGTCAGGATGCTACTCCTTACAAGAATCATACTGTTAAAATCATTGTAAAATGTGGAAAGCACAATTGTAGTTTTCCCTGAGTGTCCCCTCTGCCGCCCCCCACCAGAGGGCTTCTTCTGTATAGAGGGTGGCAGCTTTTTTTTTTTTTGAGACAGTCTCGCTCTGTTGCCCAGAATGGAGTGCAGTGGCACGATCTCAGCTCACTACAATCTCTGCCTCCGAGGCCTAGGTTCAAGCGATTCTCCTGCCTCAATCTTCCAAGTAGCTGCGATTACAGGTGCCCGCCACCACGCTTGGCTAATTTTTTATATTTTTAGTAGAGAAGATGGGGTTTCACCATGTTGCCCAGGCTGGTTTCGAACTCCCAAGCTCAGGCAATCTGCCTGCCTTGGCCTCCCAAAGTGCTGGGATTACAGGCGCGAGCCACTGCGCCCGGCCAGGGTGGCAGCTTTGAAATCTAGTCAAAAGCCTGCTAAGGGAAGTCAAATATTCTTTTTTTTTTTTTTTTGAGATGGAGTTTCACTCTTGTTGCCCAGGCTGGAGTGCAATGGCACAATCTCGGCTCACCACAACCTCTGCCTCCCAGGTTCAAGCCATTCACCTGCCTCAGCCTCCTGAGTAGCTGAGATTACAGGCATGCACCACCATGCCTGGATAATTTTATATTTTTAGTAAGGACAGGGTTTCTCCATGTTGGTCAGGCTGGTCTCCAACTCCTGACCTCAGGTGATCTGCCCACTTTGGCCTCCCAAAGTGTTGGGATTACAGGCGTGAGCCACCGCGCCTGGCCGTAAAATATTCTTAGAAAAGTAACAGACAAGAATACCTACTTATATTACATCGGCCTGTTTTTTTTTTTTTTTTGAGACGGAGTTTCACTCTTGCTACCCAGGCTGGAGTGCAATGGCGCGATCTCGGCTCACAGCAACCTCCGCCTCCTGGGTTCAGGCAATTCTCCTGCCTCAACCTCCTGAGTAGCTGGGATTACAGGCACGCGCCACCATGCCCAGCTAATGTTTTTTGTATTTTTAGTAGAGACGGGGTTTCACCATGTTGACCAGGATGGTCTTGATCTCTTGACCTCGTGATCCACCCGCCTCGGCCTCCCAAAGTGCTGGGATTACAGGCTTGAGCCACTGCGCCCGGCCTCACATAGGCCTGTTTTTTAGTATTTCCTATGGTATTCACAGCAAGAAGAGCAAAGTCCTAGAGAGAGGTTCCTAGAATTTACTAGGCATAAACATTACCTATAGCTCATTCCAAAATGACCAACTAAGAATCACTGCGAGTATGGTCTAAAATTTGCATTTAAAGAATAAGACTTATTATTCTGATATATAATACAACCCACTAATATAACTAAGAAACACTGACTTCAAATATTATAAGAGAAAATAAGTCAGGGAATTTCTGCAGAAAAGATAATACTTTATCTTCAAAATATTTTAAATACTTTAAAAGATGAAAACTACACAAAACAACAAATATTCAAATAAAGCTACAAGATCTTTATGTTGTAATTTCAACAAGTAGAGTTTTTACTGGATTATGTAACAAGTAGTGAATGAAACAGATCAGAATGAAAGACTGAAAATTCTTGATTAAAATTAGTCTTTCCAAATTAAAAAGTATCACCTTAGAGAGCACTGAATAAAACTGATACAATTTTATGAAGGTATTTCCCCTAAATTGGTGTAATAAAAATAACATACAATAAAAGAATTAAAAATTATTAAACTCTAATTCTTCCTGTGTAAGGTTATAGGAGAGAGATTACCAAGTTTTTCCATAATTGCTTCTTCTAAATCCAAATAAAAATGAAGTCGGCAAACTAAATAAGCAATTTAAATAAGAACGTAAACCCTAAGTATTATTGAAGAATATAACAATTATAACACATAAAGATTTTTAAAACTGAAATTTAGCTATTTCTAAGTAGTAAAGCAAGACCCAACCTAAGTTGTTGCTCCTAAACGGTTAATTATAGGTAAGTTCCAGGATTTTGGCAAAAGGCAAAATCACTTATAGTACAATATTCTCTACTATCTATATAAAGTAGAACCAAATTTTTTCCTCAGGTTAAAAAGAAAATTTCCTTAGATTACTGAAATAAAAAAATCCCCTTCGTTATAAGTAAATTTACTCACTAAAAGTGGTAAGTTACAGGAATTTGAATGTGTTCCTTTACAATCTAGACTCATCATGCAATTTCCTTTCTAGGACAGCAACATAAATTGAGTTATTCCTACATTTCCCCCAAATAATGTCTATAAAACTATGTTATTGCATAGGAGCTACAGGTTTCAAAACTGTATACGCTGAAAATAATTACTCTTTGAAAATGCAATCATAACACAAAACAGATTGGCCAATTTGAAAAGCAGTCTCTGTTAAGAGGTAGTTTGTAAATGAAATACTAAGGAGACAAGGATGCTTTCCAGGAGGCTGATGGGATGGTTCCTGAATCTCATTAAGGTGGACAGGGCTAGAAAACAGCAGCATTGTGACCTGTTTGTGTTAACGGCACCCAATTATCCAAGGTAAAGTGATACAAGGAACTTTTTTCTGCTTGCTAAATTGGGGATGGGAGCTTGGACTACAGGAATCCCACTTTGACATCATCAGTTTCAATTACAAAAAGAAAGATGAAAGTGTACTTCTAAAAATGGTACAATGTTTTTCTTTTAAAGATCACTAGGACATCTTAAAATTCACTACTAAATACATGAATAAGGAAACATAAGCAATGTCATATAACCCACGCACTTTTGAAGCTACTTTTAGTACCAAACCCCAGCACACATCAATTGTATGAATTTTTTTTTTTTTATTCAGAACCTGGATCTTTGTTTTAAGACTGGTATAAACAAAAATAAAATACAAAGAACTCGTTATTAACATAATAGCTGCAGTTATTAACTGCAAGAATACAGTAAAAAGGAGTCATACTAAATGTCAATGTTCTTGCAACAGAATTTTCCCAATCACCTTATGGTAGCAAATTCTGGCAAGAAATGATAATTCATTTCTTATTAAAAATACTTAAAGAATTTCCAATATTGATCAGTTGTGCCACAAATAAAACAGCAGTTTATTCAAAAGAGCCCTTACCTTTCTCTTATTTTCCTAAATGACCTGCCATTTACAGGTAACTACTAATTTCAGATCAGTTATTCAAACCAGGGTACTTTCTGTAAATCCACATCTTAGCTTTATATACAGTATACACTCATATTCCCTTTCCAGTCTCGATGCTAAACACTTTTGTAAAAGGAACAATCTAAAATCACTTCATGTAAATCTTGGTTCTTACTTTTCTTCTGTCTCATTTTTATTTTCTTCTATTATTTGTTCTTCCTCCTCATCGCCAAAAGTCTGTTCCTGCATGGTGGTAAAGGAGAGAGATCTAGCAGCCACTTCTGCAGCAAGGCCAGCAGTGAAGGTAAAATCCGGGGACAGTTGTAGCCGTGCCAGCCTCTGTTTAATGGAGGGCTGTAATGAGTCCCTGGGAGTTGGAGGGGTAGCGGCCAGACCACTTCCATCTGCTTCCGGTTCATCTTCGCTCTCACATTGGTAACACATTATTTCTTCTGCTCCTTGGGGGAAGACTTCATTTGCAGAATTATCTTTATTTTTACCTTCTAAAGGGTTTTCACATAAGTATTCAGTCCTACTTATTTCATTGTCTGTTGTGGTGGATTTACTATTTTCCTCTTCAGTATCATTTTTACTGACTTTTCCCATATCTGAATTCATTGATGGTTCTGAATTACTTATGGGTTCCACTGGGTCTACAGGAGACAAGGATTTCAACACAGCTTCAAATAAAAAAAAAAAGAAAAAGAAAATAACTAAGGACCTAGCAATGATTTAAACTTTTAATTCAAACTCTGTTTTTTTCTTAAAAAGAACAATAAATAAAAGCTAAATAAAACTTTCTAGGAAAATCAATAAAAATTTATAAATCCAGGAAACTTGAGAAAATGCCTAAGAAATGAACTGAAATGGGGATTTGATAAAGGTTTTTAAGACACCTCACATATTATCTTATTTAAAATATTAAAGCAGTGGTTCTCAAAGTATGGTCACTGAACAAACATTATCAGTTATCACCTAGGAATTTCTTAAAAATACAAATTCTTGGGCCTGATCCCAGACCTCCTGAATTGGAAACTCTGGGAGTAGGGACCAGCTACGTTTTACAAGTCCTCATCTTGGTTCTGATAAACACTAAACTTTGAGAACTATTCTCAACACTGAAGTTTGAGAACTATCGTATTAAGGAATGAGCAGCATGGTTTTGACTGATAATATGTCAGATAAAAGGCAGAAAGCAATCTAGATAATAATATCTTCAACATGTATACATATATATTTACAAGTTAAAACAGCATGGGAAAAATGCAACATACAATTTAACTTACTTGCCAACCACCTAACAAGACCCTAATGAAAGTAAAGCCTTAACTTCTACACATTTTGTAGTACCACAGAAAAATACAAACGAAATAAAGTCTGCATTCAAGATCAACTATTGTACAAAATATAATACATAAATATAATATATATTCATACGGTAGAAGTTGTCCTTGCAAGGAAAATGCAGTTTTATTTAGCCCCTCTTGATGTTAGTAGGCAGTGGGTTGCTTGCTAGGCAGTCGCTCATCCCAGCATGAGGGGTTAGTACAATACAATCTAGTATGAAGCATGACGGAAGGAAAAAAAGTGTTTCTTGAAGAGCTGGCATGTATTTAAAAAAATGTTTTTGTAAAACGTGTCCACTTCCAAGAACCATCCCTAAGCTGCAGTAACTCCACTAGAGAAGCAGCAGCAACAGAAAAAAAAAAAATGGCCACAGCAGGTTCCAGTGCAGACTTTCCCCCTCTAATTCCATTCGGGCTTTACCCCTGTAGGCAGAGATGAAAACAACTCTGGAAGATGTACTGAAATTTTTCATGGGACAAGCATTCTATGGCATCAGCAGCTTTTTACTTATTTTCACAAACTAAAACAGCATTATTACCCTTTCCAGTGTAAACTATATCAAAAGCACATACCTGAAAAAGACACACATTTCTCTCATTGATAAATCTTTGCCCATAATGTCAATAGCATAATTTTAAAGCTATATGAAGAAAACACTAAACAATAAAAAAGGATATGTTTATATACAATGCTATTTTCAGTCTATGTACATTCTTAGTTTATAAATCCGTTAGCTCTTAAAGAATGCAACATATATTAGAAGTTAATTAATACAATTATTACTAAAGAAATGGGGGGATATAATCTGTGTAATGAGAGGATCAATTGACAAGTGTGTTAGAATGTAAGCCTCGAGGCAGGTAGGAGGCTTTACATTTTGTCTCTTGATCTATATGCTAGGGATACAGCAGTAAACAGTGCCTGACATATAACAAGTATTCGGTAACTACTTGTTGAATGAATAATTTGCTGAATGAATGCTGCGGGATAATAGGGCCCCTATTCAAGAAAACTGTAATTTCATTACAGAGATAAAAAACAAAACAAAACAAAACCTTGAACATATAGAAAACAGCAGTGCCTAAAATGTATCTCTGATTAAATAGTGCCTAAAATTAATCTCTGACGTATGTAGGCCTAGTATATGAATGAACAGAATGCAGGAAAGCAATCTGTTAATCATTTCCCTTCTCTGCTACATGCTTTGCTGCTCAAGACTTTTTTCATATTCCAACACAATGGCCCTCTAGTGTGAAGGACTATAGTGGTAGGAGAGGTGGCAGAGCTGGAGAACTCAGAGAATGATTCATGGAGGAGGAGAAACTAGTAGACAATCTTGGTGGAGAAGGCAGAATTCTTGGTAAAGAGGTAAGCATGAATTTTTTTTTTTTTTTTTTTTGAGACAGTGTCTTACTCTGTCGCACAGGCTGGAGTATAGTGGCGTGATCTCGGCTCACTACAGCCTCCGCCTCCCGGGTTCAAGTGATTCTCCTGCCTTAGCCTCCTAAGTAGCTGGGATTACAGGTGCGCACCACCATGCCCAGCTAATTTTTGTATTTTTAATAGAGACAGGGTTTCGCCGTGCTGGCTAGACTGGTCTCAAACTTCTGACCTCAAGTGATTGACCTGCCTCAGCCTCCTAAAGTGTTGAGATTATAGGCGTGAGCTACCACGCTTGGCCAGCATGAATTTTTTTCATGCATAAAAATAATAAGTTTGTGAACTGTAGTTTAATTGTATAAACATAAGTAGAAGAAGATATTATAGTAAAAATAGTAGAAAATATACTTGGATAGATGGATTCTTATGATGAAGAAACTTGAAAACAGGAAAAGGAGTTTAGATTTAACACAATAAGAAAGGGTTTTAAGATAGAGAGCCATCATCAATGCAGTGTTGGAGAAAAATCTGGGAAGAGTTTGCAAGATAGCTTAGAAGAAAAAGGTACTGAAAATGAAAGTCAGCTAAGTGGCTATTTTAATGTACGTACATAATCTAATGAGGACCTGGGCTATAAAGGGGGCCAACAGGAAGAAAGAGGAATGATAAAACTAAGATATGTATATCTGGACAGGGGAGAACGTAGGGCTCCTGAGAGAAAAAAAAAAAAGAGAACTGGAGGAACTTTCCAGAAGTATAGGTAATCTATGTACTTCTAGTGAGGAGGGAAAAGGAAAGTGGTTGATTTTGAGGGTCCACACAGATACTCTAAAATGGGAAGTCACCCTCTACCTACTTAGAAATCCACAGGTATTAATTCTATTAAGAATTAGCTAGGTTGATATTGTCAACTATTAAGCTTCCCCTGATTCCTTCCCCTGTCTCCCATGAAGTTTGACTTAAGAAAAGAAGGGTGAGAAACAGAAAGGAATGGAAGGCTTTTGTATCACCAGCTATCCTACTTTGCTAAAATCAGAGCATGGGGAGTATGCCCACAGCCACCCCCGTCCCCTCCCATCCTAAAGTGCTCAGACCACTTAAATAATGCTAATGACGTGGTTCACTGGTCTACGTTTTAATTTTTTTTTTTTTTTTTTTTTTTTTTGAGATGGAGTCTCACTCTGTTGCCCAGGCTAGAGTGCAGTGGTGATGTGATCTCAACTCACTGCGACCTCTACCTCCCGGGTTCAAGTGATTCTCCTGCCTCAGCCTCCCAAGTAGCTGGGACTACAGGTGCATGCCACCATGCTTGGCTAATTTTTGTATTTTTAGTGGAGACAAGGTTTCACCATGTTGGCCAGGCTAGTGAACTACTGACCTCAAGTGATCCACCCGCCTCAGCTTCTCAAAGTGCTGGTATTACAGGCGTGTGCCACTGCGCCTCAGCCATGTTTTTCAACAGTGAACATGGTTATTAATTTTGTGCTTCAGTAAGGTATTTTTTAATATTTTAACATATGGAGAACAGAGTTGAGAATCTCAAATTCACTAAATTTGAAAATAACATTTAAAATATCCCAAATTATTCAAGTCACTGCCCATTTTAAAACAAAAAATTATATAACTGAGAAAAAAAAGTGTGACTTCATATTTCCAATGCTGTTACGTTCCTAACCTCTCATTAATCAAATTGACTTCACATCTAGAAGAAAAAGTGCTATGCATACTGGTGGACCCTTATAAAACCCCAAGAATTACCTAAGAATTCTTCAGCTAAAATAACATTCATAGTTCAAGAAAAAAAAGACTCCCCTACATTGAAATAACCTGTTACTCTAAAGTCAATGCTTACCATGATCACTAAACAAAAGTTGCTTCCACTTCTGCCTTTCTGCCTCTGAAGCTTTAAATCCCAGCACAGATTTTAATTCTTGGAGCACCCTCTTGGATTCTTCATGCTCACGTCTCTGTCTCTCTTTGTCTTCTTGAGACAAGCAATAAAAGTCCTCCTTTCTGAAATCACTATCAATATCTATATCATCTACATAAGCTTCTAATTCCTGAAAATGAATATAAGAAAAAGCACTTTACTTGAAGCAGACAGTTTTCTAGTAAGCATTCATTTACTTGCACTTACTTATCTCTGAGATTTTAAAAAAAAAGGACTTGCATTTGGCATAGGTCATTAAAGCAGAGCTAGGAAAAAAAAAAAAGCAAACATACCTACAGATAAAATGAAATCTTAAAAACAAAAAACCTAACAGAAAAGCATTGTGGATAAAAAAGTTTAACAACTTCAATAGTTATTTTTCTAATTTGATGCCATATTATATACTTACTGAGTGTTACAGCCATTAGCTATATCAAAACCAATCAAAAGTAGAAGGTCTGGCAGTCTGGGGAGGTGGTCAGGCATGTTTGTTTTCTTGTGGTTCTTTCTGATTTCCCAGAAAGTATGAACACTCTTTCTAGGATTAGGGAATACCCCACCTTATGGTTCTTCTTATCTCTAAGACAGAGGGTAGGATACTTGCTTACCCAGCCTCTCTTACAGTATAGGCGCAGATAAATGACCTGAGATCCTCTAATCAGACGTGCCTGCATCACACTGGATTTAGAAGTTTGTGATACAAAAAGCAGGCACCTTGAAAAATCCATTCTGGCAGGATGTTGGCAGATATGTTTCTTCAGGTAGCACTTCTGGAGGTAATTTTTACTACTCAGCATTAATGGAGCAAAAGGCAATGTCTCCACCTATTAATTTAGCAATGATAACTCCATTGCAACAGTTCTTTTGAGTAATTTGGCTGTTTACCCTAGCCTCATTCAAGCCTGCTTATCTGGCCCTCTGAAATACTCTGTAAGTTACCTAAAAGTTTAAACAAAGTATCTGTCTGTTAAACTAACTAGGGTTGGTTTCGACTTGCAATTAAGAATACTGAATAGTAACTTGTTATGCAATATACACGAAAAAAAAATACTGAATAAATAATGACCTAAGGAAAAGAGGTTTTCCTTAGAATGAACAAAAGTTATCTTTGTTAATATCTAATGTGATCATTAAAAATTGTTTTTAAAAGTGAGGTATATCATAGTATATGCAGTCAAGTACACAGGATTTTTACATATGCACACATATTGGTAATTACTACTCAGATCAAGATAAAAACATCTCCAGCATCCCAAAAGGTAGCTTTGCCAGTGTACTAATTTTCAATGTGTTCAATAACTTTTAAAAGTCACTCAGATATGGACAATTAGATATAAATAACAAATAATAAAATTAGATATAATAAATAATAAAAGTCTGCTGTCGGATTCAATGAATTCAGAGTTAAGCACTAAAAACTAATGGTCTGATATAAATTCAACACATTATATTTTGAAGCTCATTAGAAACAGAAATCCAACGAGGGACAAAACAGTAATTTTCACCCTTACCTGCTCCTCAGGGATTGGATCTTTGTCTGCAATGTGTAGAGTAGGAGTAGGTTGCATCAAAGGTACTACTGAACAATGTGGGTTTTCACACACTATTTCAGGCTTGCCTTAAAAAAGGGGGAGCAGGTGGGAATAAAGATAAGAAACAGGCCACACAGACACGAGTGAACATCTAATTAAAAATATCTTTGGGGCCAGGCGTGGTTGCTCACACCTCTAATCCCAGCACTTCAGAAGGCTGAGGCGGGAGGATTGCTTGAGCCCAGGAGTTCAAGACCAGCCTGGAAACAAAGACAGACCCAAAAACTAAAAAAGAAATTAGCTGGGCATGATGGTGCATGCCTGTAGTCCCAGCTATTTGGGAGGCTGAGATGGGAGGACTGCTTGAGCTGGAGAGGACAAGGCTACAGTGAGCCGTGATTATGCCACTGCACTCCAGCTTGGGCAACAGAGCTAGACCCTGTCTCCCCCAACCAAAAAAATCCTTGGTACCAACACTTTGTCAATTTCATAGTCCAACTTGTTCTAATAACTTTTTATTTATAAAAAAAATTAAAGATACTAAAATGAACAACAATAAATTAGATTTACAACTTAAAGTTTTTAAACTCTTGGAGGAGAGAGAACCTGGCCTTCTTCTCTCTTCACCTGACCACAGTATCTGGTACACACTAGGTACTCTATAAATACTTGTCAAACAAAATATTATCATTCATAGCATAGGAACAGTCTTAAGACAGACCATCACTCTTCTTCACAAAATACAAACTTCAATCTTACCCTGAGGCTATTTTAACTTTCAGAAGTTGGAATTGGAAATGAGTTCACAAGTAAACGTCTTTAAAAGACCACCCTAGTGAGTTTAACTTTGATTAATTCTTAAAATTTGTGTTTGGTATTTAATGACAGGGTTAGTTAGTCTCATATCCAGTTGGCAACCATTCATCATTATCTTTCTACTTGAAAAAAAAAAAGAAGTATGCTTTAAACTTCCTGATTTTTACTTTTCAAAAGTAACAATAGTTAAATGGTGGGGAAAAAAAGAAGAAATATTTGGGAAATGTTATAAAAAGATGACTGGTCAGTTTGTAGGCAAGATGTCAGAATGATGAATAAATTAATAGAAAGCACTAACGATAGACAGACTAGTATGGTGGCTAAGAGTTTTACAGTTAGTCACAACTGGTTTAAATCCTAGCCCCTGCTGCTTTCTAGCTTAACTTATAGTTATCTGTAGAACAGTGGTGAAAATAATAGTACTCTTTTGTAAGATTAAAAAATACATAAAAAATGCTTAAAACAATGCCTGCTACAGATTGCATGCTCAAAAACTGCAATTACTGCTTAACTAGAAGAACACAGATTTCATTACATCAATGCTGACACCATACATTGAGCTCTTTGAATGAAAAGAAAAATCCATAAGACTACTGTTAATAACAGTAAACAGGTACATTAAACAGAGTGCTGATAATCCAGCTCTCAAACAAAACAAAACACCAATTTGCAGCACTTCCTGATTTCCAGTTCCCATGGTGTAAATACACCCACTGTGATCAATTCTAAGCTACCAGTGATGTTAAACTGACTCACAAATTTCTGAATATTTAACAATCTCTGGAGAGCCAGCTCCAGCATGTAACTCATTTAACAAAAATCTAACGAGAGGCCAGGTGTGGTGGCTCAAGCCTGTAATCCCAGCACTTTGGGAGGCTAAGATGGGCTGATCACTTGAGGTTAGGAGTTGGGAGACCAGCCTGGCCAACACGGTGGAAACCTGTCTCTACCAAAAAACACAAAAACTAGCTGGGCGTGGTGGTGTACAGCTGTAATTCCAGCTATTGGAGAGGCTGAGGCAGGAGGATCATTTAAACCCAGAAGGGGGGGCTTGCAGTAAGCTGAAATCGCGCCAATGCAATCCACACTCCGCCTGTGCAACACAGAGAAACTCTTTCTCAAAAAAAAAAAAAAAAAAAAGGCCCGAAAAATTTTTAAAAACCCCCCCGAATTTTAACTACATGCTTCCAGTAATAGTTTTTACAACGAGCACAGGTTATAAAGTGAAAAAAGCTCCCTGATGACCTTATCCCTTCTTTCTGAAAGCAGGGGCCTGCCAAATCTGCCCCACTGCCTGTTCTTGTAAATAAATTTTATGCTAGAACACAGCCACACTCATTTAAATATAGTCTATGAGTGCTTTCATACTATAACAGCATAGTAAAGTAGTTTTAACAGACACCATACAGCCTGCAAAGCGGAAAATCTTCAGGAAAAAAAAAAAATTGCAGACCCTTGCCCCGGGGCAATGTTTCTAAAATTTCTCAAACTTTAACATGGATACAAATGACCATATCTTATTAAAATACAGGTAGATATAAAGTCAGGGGTCCATTTGTAACAAACTCTCATGTGATGCTTATATGCTAGTCTGGGGACCACTCTGGGTAACAAGGCCCTAGAGGTAATAAATGTAAAGAGTTTTAAAATAACATGACACACACACATACACATGTGCACACACATATATTTTTGAGACAGGGTCTCACTGTGTCACCCAGGCTGGAGTGCAGTTGTGCAATCATGGCTCACTGCAGACTCGACCTCCTGGGCTCAAACAATCCTTCCATCTCAGCCTCCTGAGTAGCTGGGGCTACAGACATAAGCCAGTGTGCTCAGTTAATTTTTTTTTTTGTACAGATGGCTGTTTTGCCATGTTGCCCAGGCTGGTCTCAAACTCCTGGACTCAAGCGATCCTCCCTCCTTGGCCTCTCAAAGTGCTGAGATTATAGGCATGAACCACCGTACCTGGCCTGTGATATTTTTAATAATGGAAAACTTATTAACTGGAGATTAATCTTTTCTATGGCAATCTCAAGTAATGCCAAATTATTCTCAATGATTTCCCAAGCTTACGACAATATATATATATAGATATATATGTGTATATATATGTATGTGTGTGTACATACATATATACTTATATAAAATCTATATAAGCCGAGTACGGTGGCTCACGCCTATAATCCCAGGACTTTGGGAGGCCAAGGTGGACAGATCATGAAGTCAAGAGATTGAGACCGACCTAGCCAACATGGTGAAATCCCATCTCTATTAAAAATACAAAAATTAGTGGGGCATGGTGGTGCTCGCCTGTAGTCCCAGCTACTTGGGAGGCTGAGGCAGGAGAATTCGTTTGAACCCGGGAGGCAGAGTTTGCAGTGAGCCGAGATTGTACTACTTACTACATTCCAGCCTGGCGACAGAGTGACGCTCTGTCCCCCCCAAAAAAAAATTATATATAAAATATGGAATGATTCATGAATTTGCATGTCATCCTTATACAAAGGGCATGTTAATTTTCTCTGTATCATTCTAATTTTAATACATGTGTTGCCAAAGCCAAGCACCCTAATCTTGATTTCTAAATGCCATTCTCCATTAAAAGGTTTTACAAGCCATTCCTCCCTCCATCTCCAATTCTTGCAACTACTCATCTGTTTTCTGTTCCTTTGCCAACTTCAGCGTGCCTCATAAGTGGAATAACATAGTACGTAGTGGTTTGAATCTAACGTCTTTCACTTGGCATAATGTATCAGAGATTCATTCATTGTTTTGGATGCAATGGTAGTTCACTTTCTTTTGTTGCTGAGTAGTATTTCATTGTATGGATGGATGTAACAGTTTAGTCACATCCCAAAGTCTAGCTGCTTCTAGTTTTAGTTTATGAACAAAATATTGATGTATAGGCTTTTGTGTGAACACTAAATTTTTACATTTCTTGGTTAAAATACATAGGAATTATACTACTGGGTCATATGGTATATGTATTCATAGTGGTTAAATTTTTGATGAAGAAAGCATATTTATAGAACCTCAGAGTACTTCTTTACAAAATATTTATCATGAAAGACTATAAGGCAAAGGAGAATAAAGAGCATGACAACTGAATATCATGCACAGTCTAGGTCTAGACATATTAAAAATATTGGGACAATTAGGGAAATTTGAATGGGTTCTGTGGATAAAATGACAATACTGTGGATGGTGTTCATTTTCTGATTTTGATGGTATACTGTGGGTATATAGAAGAATGTTCCTGTTTTACAAAAATGCATACAGAAATATTTACTGGTAATGGGGCTTCAAGTCTACAACTTACTCTCAAGTGGGTAAGAGTAACATCACCATCAAAAAATTATACACACATACAGACACATACATAGAAAAGGGAACTGTGGCAGAATGTCAACAATTAGGGAATATGGATGAAGGATACTTTCAACTATTGTAACTTTTCTGTAAGTTTGAAATGATTTCAAAATAAGACCTTTTTTAAAAAAGATAATGGCTAAACAAAGTACCTGCTTCTTAAAATATTCAAATGAACACTTTTTATTTAAACCTGTGTAGTCATAGCCACTGTGAATGTTTTAGTGAGAAAAGTTTGTGAACTATTTGTCTTAATCATTATTATCTATGAGCAAAAGCCACACATACGGAAAAGAATTAGAAGATAGCTTATCTTCCACATGTGTACCTATGCAAAAATCTTGCATGTTCTTCACATGTACCCCAAAACCTAAAATGCAATTAAAAAAAAAAAAAAAAGAAAATAGCTTATCTTAATTACCTACCCAATGAGGTGGAGACAGTTTTCAGAGTAATGGTTCACAATACTGGATAAGTGATAGACTAAGATTCAACATCTCAGAGTGTGGTAAAGAAGGGGTGAATGGGATGCATTTTTTTTTTTTTTTTTGAGAGACAGTGTCTCACTCTGTTGCCTAGGCTAGAGTGCAGCAGTGGCCTGATCATAGCTCACTGCAGCCTCAAACTCTTGGGCTTAAGCAATCCTCCTGACTCAGTCTCCTGAGTAGCTGAGCACTCAGCTACTCCTGTCACTGGGCCTCGCCAGGATACAGCTTTTAACAACCAAAGGTCTTCTGAGTATTTCTATTTGTAGAAAATGTACACAAAAGCTCTAGATGTCATATCAGAAAGTTTAATGTGCATAAGTATTTGCAAATATTAGAATTTCTTGGTAGATTTATCCTTTCGAGAAAAAATTATTTACAGTTTACATTTGGGATAGTAAGAAAACCTACAGGTAGTATATCAGTAATTCACATGTTAATATTTCCTTTGGAGAAAGTGAATACTTTTACTATCTAAGGATTTGTTCAAAGAAATTATTGCAAATTTAGCTGTAAACAACAACAACAAAAAAAACCAGGATGGTAAAGCATTAATTATCTTTAGCAGCAATGCAAATTCTATGCCTAAGTCTGAGTAACATCATAATAAAGATCCAAGAGATAAATATGGTTCTGTTTTGCAGCACAATTTTCAAAACTTGATATGCACAACACGAAAAATGAAATCAGTGAGGTAAAAACAAGCATAAAATCTGAGTCAATAAAAGCAGTTTGATGGAAAATCTCAAGACTATTTTTTTTACTAGTAGCACAAAGCAATCTGATACATTGTCATTAAATAATGACACAATGTATTTAGATTTTAGTACTAAATATGTAGTGTCACTAATTATATCATTTGTATATTATTTTTGAATGACTGAAGTAAGTATTTTATTTTAAAAGAAAAACTCGTTTCTAGCCCCAGACTATCAAACTCATTCTTTTATTATCCTAACTGAAAAAGAGTTTTTAGGTCTAACAATAGAAAAACACTATGAAAATTTATTCTCTCATTTCTGCTTTTTTAAAAAAGAATATGATTCACTGAACTTTCAAATCATATTCATTTTTTATTTACAAAATGAGAGCTAATAATTGTATTCAGTGTCACTTTGTACGTATAAATTCAACATAAAAAAAAGTAAACTAAGAAATTTTGAAGCTAATTTCATCATGAAGACAAGAAATCCGCCTAATAAAATCCTACCAGAGTGGAATAAGCATGTCTGATAAGCATATGCCAAAGAAATCTCTCACAGGTACCTTTTTTATCTGTATTTCTTTGTAGCAGTTTGTCGACCTGAGAAATGGCCTCTTCCCAGCAATTGTTGCTTGCTTGAACATGGGGCTGAATCGACTTTAATTTCTGTTCTAGGATGTGATAAGCCTCTGACATTAGTTCCTGCGTTTCTTTAGTACAAACAAGCTTTTCAAGTTCATCTTCAAGAATTATTACCCTGAGTCACAAAGAAAAACAGAAACAGATTTCTATAATTTGAAATAAAAACTTTACAATTTATAAGGCTTATTTTAAAATACGTTTAAATCGTAGCACTTTGGAAGGCCAAGGTGGATGGCTTCAGCTCAGGAGTTCAAAACCAGCTTGGGCAACATGGTGGAATCCTGTCTCCACCAAAAATACAGAAAATTAGCCAGGCGTGGTAGCATGTGCCTGAGGCTGAGGTGGGAGGATTGATTGAGCCTAGGAGGTGGGGGTTGCAGTGAGCTGTGGTAGCACCACTGCACTCCAGCTTGGGGGACAGAGTGAAACCCTATCTCAATTAAAAAATAAAAGCTTATAAGATGAAAAATGTTCTAGAGTTAGACAGTGGTAATGGCTGCACAACAATGTGTATATACTTAATGCCACTGAACTGTACATTTAAAAATGATTAAATGATAAATTTTGTTATATATACTTTACCACAATTTTTAAAAAAGCTTATAAGAGTATGATATATTTATTCAACAAATATTTCTTGCATATATACTAGGCATTTTGAGCTTAAAAATAAATTAAGCCCATCTTCTAGTTATAAGAAATAACAAGTGATATTACACATATATGTAAATAAAATATACCGACCCCAACTCCCTACTCCACCCACCCCCTACTGAGCCTGCCAACAACAGCCTAGAGTGCAACTCCTTGGCGCCCTCCCCCCTTCGGTGTGGCTCGAGCTGGTGACACTGAAGACTGGAGACACCACAGACCCACAACCTGGAGCAGCTTGGATGCAGGGAATAATAGCTCTTCAGGTCTGCAATAAAAAATGGCTTCCAATAAAACTACATTGCAAAAAATGGGAAAGAAACAGAATGGAAAGGTAAAAAAGTTGAAGAGCTAGAGCCTGAAGAATTTGTGGTGGAAAATGTACTAGATTGATGTGTAGGGAATGAGAAAATGGAATATTTCCTGAAGTGGAAGGGATTTACAGATGCTGACAATACTTGGGAACCTAAAGAAAATTTAGATTGTTCAGAGTTAATTGAAGCATTTCTTAGGTCTCAAAAAGCTGGTAAAGAAAAAGATGGTACAAAAAGAAAATCTTTATGTGACAATGAATCTGATGACAGCAAATCAAAGAAGAGATGCTGCTGACAAATTAAGAGGATTTGCTAGAGGTCTTGATCCTGAAAGAATAATTGGTGCCACAGATGGCAGTGAAGAATTGATGTTTTTCATCTAATGGGATGATTCAGATGAGGCGGGCTTGGTGCTGGCAAAAGAGGCAAATATGAAGTGTCCTCAAATTATAATTGCTTTTTTTTATGAAGAAAGACTAACTTGGCATTTTTGTCCAGAAGATGAAGCTCAATTATTGTTAACATTGTGTGTTTGTGTGTGTGTGCGTGTACACACACATACACATATATAGATGCATGTATGTGTGTGTGTGTGTGTGTGTGTGTGTGTATATATACATATATATAAATTTGTTGTAGGGTGTGGTGGCTCACACCTGTAATCTCAGCACTTTGGGAGGCCGAGGCAGGTGGATCACCTGAGGTCAGGAGTTCGAGACCGGCCTGGCCAAAATGGTGAAATCTTGTCTCTACAAAAATTAGCTGGGTGTGGTGGCATGTGCCTGCAATCCCAGCTACTCAAGAGGCTGAGGCCGGAGAACTGCTTGAACCTGGGAGACAGGGGTTGCAGGGAGCCAAGATTGCACCACTGCACTCCAGCCTGGGCAACAGAGAGAGTGTAAGACTCCGTCTCAAACGAAGGGGGGGGGGGTTCTTGGATTTTTTTACCTACTAGTGTGACAAAATAACTACATTCTAATGAAAATCAGGTTTGATATTTTCATTTTGAAAGTAGCGTTGGAAGAGTTGTTTTCTTTTTTTTTTTTGCACCAATAGCACTAGCTACTTTGAATACACAAACCCTTTCTGTAGTTGCCTCCTTTATCAGAAAAGAAAAATAATACAATATCATAAATAATTAGAACTATCATTTTGTTTCCATTTTATAGATAAGGAATTAGGCCCAGGGAGTTGGGCAAACTTGCCAAGAGTCACAAAGCTGGTAAGATGTAAAACTGGGCTCAATACAGGCATAAAAGGATAACACCACAGAGAGACAGATAGTGTTACGAGAATTAAGAAGGGAAAATTACTACCAACTATAAAGACAGATGGGGGACAACTAAGGAAGAGGTATTTTTGAGGTAGCATTGAGGGATGGATTAAATTTGAGCCTATATACAAAAGGTGAGAAAGGTTTTTTTTTTTGGTTTTTTTTTTTTGAGACAGGGTCTCACTCTGTCACCCAGGCTAGAGTGCAGTGGTGTGATTTTGGCTCACTTCAACCTCAGCCTCCAGGGGTCAGGTAATCCTCCCACATCAGCCTCCTAAGTAGCTGGGACTACAGGCATGCACCACCACAACTGGCTAATTTTTGTATTTTTTTTGTAGAGACAATGGTTCACCATGTTGTCCAGGCTGGTCTCAGCTCCTGGGCTCCAGTGATCTGCCCGACTTGGTCTCCCAAAGTGTCAGGATTACAGGCGTTAGCCATTGCACCTGGCTACAGGCTTGTTCTATTAGGTTGGTGCACAAGTAATTGCAGTTTTGCTATTAAAAGTAATGGACCATGGGAAAAGGCATTTATACAGTTTGGCTGCACTGAAGGAAAGGAATGAGAAATAAAGGTAGAAACAGACTGTAGTCAGGTTACGGCAAACCCTTTTTATAGTATGTTTTGTAAAGACTTTAGTCTGAGCTGCTATGACTCCAAAACCAGTCAAGATTTTCAGTGAAGTGAGAAAGCAAATACATGCCTCAGTAACATTAATTTGGCCATACACACCCTGGAGGTGAAAAGAACAGTTAGAGATTAATGCCCTAGTGTAGGCAAGGGACAATATTGTCCTGCAAAAGTGGGAACAGCAAAAAGGACAAGGGGAGAACAGTGAAACACAAAAGGAGCATTCTAAAATATGAAATACAAAACAATTCTTTAGCTAAACTTTAAAAAGTTGTATGTAGCAGCACACAGAGCAAATTGGATATGATAGTTTGTGACCAGTGTACTTTCTAGTGAAAATACTTAGAAAGGTGAGACACATTAGCATGTATTGAATATTCCACTTTTAAATAGGACAAAAATTTCCCATGCATAATCCACAATTTCTGCCCAAGGTACAAAGCTCCTCTTTTTTGTGTTCATGTCTACCTTGGGTAGCACTCTTTCTTCCCTGAGTCATCTTCCCTCACTCTAATGCATTCTAATATGCAGAATTTTTTTTGGTAGCATATTTCTGATTCTATTGCCAAAATTTACTTCTTGGGAGACTCTGGCTTTGCCTACAACTTTCCACTGAAATCTTATTTTCCTTTGATGATAATCTAACCTTTGCCACCTACTCAAGTGGAGATGCGCCTATCGCCCAGTTCTCTGCAGGAGGCAGGGCTAAGAGCCTGGTTAGCATTTACCTGCCCTCCTAGAACAGCAGATATAGACCACTGGAATACCCTGACTTCATAGTTTCTTTATTTTTCCTATGCCATAATCTTTATATCAGCCTTACAGCTAACCATTTCAGGCCTTCAACTTAGCTTCTCAAAATGTCTTTCTGACTTTAAGTTTCTATCCCCATATCTCTTATCCTCTCTCATTCTAGTGAAACTAGCCTTTTGATTTTGCTGATATGTCAAGTCCTTTTGACCCATTCTTATCTTACAGAATTAATTGCTGCCTTCCTCATTCCACTTCTTGCCTTGTATCCCAGGGTCAAGTACATTAACTACAATCTTAGCTCTTTAAATTCCTATGACCTTCCTGATTACCAACACAACATGAACCCAACCATTCATTTGATCCAGTCATGCATGATGAATATTTAACTATTAGAGAAAAATTTCACTAGAAATGACTGTATTCAATTAAATGACTTGACTCAATTTTTAAACTTGAAAACTTCCATGTAGAAATATGTGAAAATAGTATTTTCAGCAGATAAAGGTATACCAAAGTAGAACATAAAAATTTAGAAATGAAGGTAGGGTATCAACAATTTCATACAAGGTAGGAAATGAACAAAATAAACTCTATGCTCTACACTTTGCTCTTCAACTGGGACCACAAAGCTTGTCCTATGCTACAAAAAAATTTCTAGATCTGCTATAATTAGAAAAAATAGCAATATGTTACTCTTCTACTATATACGACAATGCCTCTTGTAACACACTGTTCCAATACTAGTAGAATATTTCTATTAGACTGCAGATTCCAGTTTAAGAGTCCTACCTTAAGAAAGTTAAAAGAAACTAATTCTTCATAACCATCTCCATTTCAGCTCTCAAAGAGTATAAATAATACCTGCTTTTAGCCTATCTTTCCAAGTTTTCTGTTGAACTAAGGAAAAGTAAAAACGAAATAATGCCCTCAAGTTATAGTACTTACAAATTATTGGGTTTTGCTATATTTGTAGCTACAAACCACTCTTCATGATCATGTCTCAATTTTCTTTCTTTTTTCTAGCTAGGACACAAGCCAACCACCACAATGGTATGCAAATGAAGGTTGCTAATTACTGAGACCTTTCTCAGTAATTATAATGAGTAAGTATAATTTCTAAACTTACTCATTCAGTAATGCTTTCAGATGGAGCTGCAAGCTGCGTACTGCTGTGTGAACATTATTCAACTCTCTTGACTTCTGTTGACTTTTGGATAAATACTGTGGTACTGACTGGTGCTGAGTTTCAAAGTACCGATAGAATTCATAGCTGCGCTTAAGCTCTTCCAAACAGGCAGAATGAGCATGAGGTAGACCTTGAGTCACATCAGATAAGATACGATGAGGCAGGAGTGCTGGAGTAAGTAAGGGCCCAGGAGGTGAATTGACTGTAGAAAGTAATAGAGTTAACCGTCTGAAGAACTCTGAACTCTGTGCCACCCAGAGTTGGAACAAAACCTAAAAAAAAAAAAAGAAAAAAGGACTAGATCAATAACAAAGATTGGTTAATGTTAAAAACTATAAATTTTGTACTTTATCCTTAATAATAAATATAGCTGAGCTTGAACTACCTTAAGATTAGCCAGGAATATGATTGTCAAATATAGTATGTGGGAATTTATGATTCCAATATAGCAGGTAATACCAATATATAACTTAGTACAGTTCTGCTCCAAATGGGAAGTATTGATGGAATAAGATACACTATTAGAAGTAAATCTTCACTCATTATTTAAAAAAAAAATTTCACATAGGAGAAAAGAAGACAGTTGGAGTAGTGGAGAAGATATATATACATACATATATATATATATATATAATCGCCAAAGAAATGGATCAAAAGCTTGGGTTTCAAAATAAGACTATTACCTTGCCTTATGAATTAGCTAAGAAATTAATATAAAAATCAGTCCAGGGCCAGGCGTGGTGGCTCACACCTGTAATCTCAGAACTTTGGGAGGTGAAGACAAGTGGATCACTTGAGGTCAGGAGTTCAAGACCAGCCTGGCCAACATGGTGAAACCCTGTCTCTACTAAAAATACAAAAAGTAGCCAGACAAGGTGGTGTGTGCCTGCAGTCTCAGCTACTCGGGAGGCTGAGGCAGGAAAATCATTTGAACTTGGGAGGTAGACATTACAGTGAGCTGAGATGGCACTACTGCACTCCAGCCTGGGTGACAGAGCAAGTCTCCAACTAAAAAAAAAATCAGTTAAATACTCCAGAATTTAATGTCTGACATGAGAAACTGCAAAACCTATATTTTAATTAATTTATTTATTTTTGTGATAGAGTTTTGCTCTGTTGCCCAGGCTAGAGTGCAATGGCACTGTCATAGCTTACTGCAATCTCAAACTCCTGGGTTCGAGTGATCCTCCTGCCTCAGCCCCCCTGAGTAGCTGGAACCAAAGGCATGTATCTCCATACTCAGCTAATTTTTAAGTTTCAGAGATGGGGTCTCAGTATGTTGCCCAGGATAAAGTCCTTTTTTAATACAGTCTAAGTATGTTCACAGGCCCGTTCTGAGATACATCCTGAATCCTGGTAGCAAAGGATTTCCCCAGATATAGTTCTATTCAAGATGAGGACAGTATCTCTGAAACAAATGCATGACAAAACAATGTAGTCTGAAACAAGAGGTAGCAGGCAATAAAAAGAGGATGAAACCACTTTAATTTAGATTCCAATTATTCACATCCATGAAAACAGACAAAATTTAGATGGTTTTATTAAATAAATTTTAAAAGTATGCCAATAATGAATTAAGACAATTTCATGTAAATCTGTTTTACCATTAACATTTTTTTTAAGTGAGTAAGGCCAAAGTTCCTAGTTGCTACATAAGGGATTCTTGAATACAAACAGGTTTACTTGCAAGTCTTCTAATCCAACTATTGAATTTTATGATTACAATGATTTTCTTTATTCCTTTATTCATTCATTCAGAAATGATTTCTTGAGCACCCACAATGTGCCAGGCACTGTTCTAGGTGCAGATAAATAGCAGTGAGCAAAAATGAAAAGAGTCCCCACTTTGATGGAACTTATTTTCAAGTATAGGGGCATAAATAATAATCTACAAGTAAAAGATCGAGTTTCCCTTTTCCAGTATTGATGGTCCAGGAAGAAAAAGAAAGATAGTGTCTCTTGGTTGATGGGAAAAATAGAGCAAAGAAGGAGAACAGCACGTTGTGTGTGTGTGTGTGTGTGTGTGTGTGTGTACACACATATGAGGTGGGGGAGAAAGAGAAAAGGAGAGAGGAGAAGGGGGTGGCCAGGGAGGTCTCTACACGTGTCACCTAAAGCAAGTGAGCCATGAGACCAACATCAAGGGAGAAAGTTCTAAGGAGCAGGAAGTCAAGTGCAAAGTACTGTGGTAGGAGGACACAGGGCACATCTGTGCAACAGCAAGAAGGTCAGTATGGCTGGGGCCAGGTAAGCAACAGGGAGCAACTGAAGGGTTCTGAGCAGAATGGTGACATAACCTGATTTATGCATTAAGGGACCCATAATGGCTGCTGTGTTGAGAGATTATAGGAAAGTGTGAGTAGAAGTGGAAAAACCTGTAAGGAAGTTACTGCCATAATCCAGGTAAGCATTAATGAGACCACAGTGGTTAGTGGTGGAAGGTGAGCAGCAGATGGACTTTGGATACACTGTCAAAGTAGAACCAACACAATCTCTTGACTGATTGGTATTTAGAAGGAGCTAACAAGGATGATTCCAGCATGTTGGGTCAAGATAACTGAAAGCATCAAGTTGGTACAGCTTACTGCAACTTTAAAAAAGACTAATTTAGGCCAGGTGCCCGTGGTTCCCACCTGTAATCCCAGCACTTTAGAAGGCTAAGGTGGGAGAATTGCTTGAGGCTAGGAGTTGGGAGACTAGTCTGGGAAACACAGTGAGATCCCCATCTCTACAAAATATTTTCTTTTTTTTTTTTTGAGACGGAGTTTCACTCTTGTTACCCAGGCTGGAGTGCAATGGCGCGATCTCGGCTCACCGCAACCTCCGCCTCCTGGGTTCAAGCAATTCTCCTGCCTCAGCCTCCTGAGTAGCTGGGACTACAGGCACGCGCCACCATGCCCAGCTAATTTTTTGTAGTTTTAGTAGAGACGGGGTTTCACCATGTTGACCAGGATGGTCTCGATCTCTTGACCTCGTGATCCACCCGCCTCGGCCTCCCAAAGTGCTGGGATTACAGGCTTGAGCCACCGCGCCCGGCCCAAAATATTTTCTTAAAAATTAGCCAGGCATGGTGGCACTTATATGAGGTCTCAGCTACTTGGGAGGCTAAGGTGGGAGGACTGCTTGAGCCCAGGAGTTTAGGGTTACAGTGAGCCATGATTGCACCACAGTACACACCAGCTGTGTGACTGAGCAAGACCCTGTCTCCAAAGACTAATTTATTATCCAATCACCAACCCATTATCCACTTAAACCAGAACTCAGAAATGTGTATTTTTTTTTTTTTTTTTTTTTTGTTTGAGACAGAGTCTTGCTCTGTCACCAGGCACCAGGCTCGAGTGCAGTGGCATGATCTTGGCTCACTGCAACCTCCGCCTCCCGGGTTCAAGCAATTCTCCTGCCTCAGCCTCCCGGGTAGCTGGGACTACAGGCACATGCCACCACACCCAGCTAATTTTTTTTGTATTTTTAGTAGAGACGGGGTTTCACCATGTTGGTCAGGATGGTCTCGATATCTTGACCTCGTGATCCGCCCGTCTCAGCCTCCCAAATTGCTGGGATGACAGACTCGAGCCACCACGCGCCCAACCCCGTTTGTTCTTTAGATAAGGGAAGCTGCTCTGGATAAGGAGATAGCCATAGCCTATAGGCAAACAGAAAATTTTGATTTAAAGTATTTTACAGTGTGTGCATTTATTTTTCTAAATCAGGAAATATATGACTTTATAAATTTAAAAAACTAGTTAAAAAGGAAAAAAGAGGGATAAGGACTCCGTGGTAGGGACTGATTAAGTATCTCTAACCCGAAAATTTGAATTGAATTCCCATTTGAAACTTTTTGAGCACCAACATGATAGTCAAAGGAAATGCTCACTGGAACATTTCAAATTTCAAATTTTTGGATTAGGGATGCTCAACCTCAATGTGTAATGCAAATATTCTAAAATCTGAAAAAATCCAAAATCCAAAACACTTCCAGTCTCAAGCATTTTGAATAAGGAATATTTAACCTGTATTTTATTTATGTCTCCTCAGGCTACAATTCGGAGGTTGCTTTTCTTTCCAAAGGTGCAATACTTGCCTCAGGAAATATTTCAGATTATATTTAGCTATAATCATCATTGTTAGAAGGTAGGACAGGGAGACATCAATAGAGAACAAGTCTCACATTTCAGAGCAGGTCATACCAAATATAATTTCAAAAATCAACCAATATTTATTAATTGCTTATTCTACACCAGGTGCTGAACTGACAAACATCTAATCCTTTGGAGGCAAGCACTGCAATTAACCGATTTTAATAAACATAGAAACAATGATTTGCCCAGGACCACATCAGTAGTCAAATGATGGCGCTAGAGTGAAACCTGGAAAATCTGACTGCACAGGGTCCATAACTTCTCTTTGCTGCTTAAACTTAAGCTAGAGTACAATTCAGGCTTTAATACACTTTTAAAACCAGTATATCAACAGCATAAAGAAACAAAGAAATTGCCAAGGTATCTCAATGAATTAACAAAAAGTAATTTACAAGGAAATGAAACACTATAATTGTTTCTCCAAGTCCTTAAAGAATAACAACTATCACCATTTGCGAGTACCCATTATATGACAAGCCCTGTTCTATTTAATATGTCTTCTCATTTAATCTAACACCTTATAAGGCAGGATGGTAACTCTTTTTCACAGGTAAGATAAGTTCAAAGGATAACTTATTCAAAGGCAAATGACTAGTGAGTCAGAGCTAAAATATAAACCCAGGTCTGCTCAATTTTCTACATTGAGAATCTCTTAAATTGTACTTTGAAAAAAATCTTTATTTTCCTTAAAGAATAAAGCATGATCAGGATATTGAATTTGAAAGGGAGTGAAATTACCCATAGTCCCACCACCCCAAAGAGTAGCTATTAATATCTTGGTATTTTCTCTCTCTCTCTTTTTTTTTTAAACAGGGTTGTGGCCATATTGCATATATACTTATGTATCCTGATTTTTTCACTGGCAACAGACATTTCTCCAAATTTTTATAGAATTTTCACAAGCAAGCTGTAGCTGCTACACAATGGTTTACCATGTGGCTTTAGCATGACTCATGCAGCATTCTATTGTTGAACTTTCAGGCAGTGTTCCATTGTGCACTATTATAAACACAAAGTGAATAAGCAACTTGGTATATAAAGCTTGACTATGTTTAGAATAATTCCCTGCAGTCTGCAGAAGGGGAATTACAAATTCAAAGGATAAATCATTTAAAAGGCTCTTTACAGTAGTCAAATTGCATTCTGAAACAAAGAACTTGAGAGAACTGAGGAAAGTACTGCAGCAGCCTAAGGAAGAAATGATGGTGGTTGGGACTAGGATGGTGAGAGGGGTATAGAGAAAAAAGTGGACAGGTTTAAAATACATTTTCAAGGTAGAAGTGACATAAGAATCTGCTGACAGACTGGATGTGAGTGGGCAAAAAGAGGATAAGAAAGATGGTGCCCAGGTTTCCAGTTTAGGCGGGAAACCATTTATTGAGATGGATTAGAATGGCAGTAGGAGTAAGTCAAAGCACATTTTAAGTAACAGGGAAAGAAAGAAAACAAGATAATTAAAACTTTTATGTTGATTCAGAAAATGTGAAAGATATGGAAGTCAATACAGTTTCAAAACAAAATGGATCTTGATAAATGCCATCAACAATATGTGCACTAATTTTCATAGTATCAAGGGAAGTTTTAAAGACCAGAAACAAAGAAACATCTAAGGAAAGCTTACTAAATACTGAAAAGGAACTTAAGACACTTGGATCAATGTCTTAAAAAAATACTAGTGGAGGCTGGGCATGGTGGCTCACGCCTGTTATCCCAACAATTTGGGAGGCTGATGGGCAAATCGTTTGACCTCAGGAGTTTGAGACTAGTCTGGGAAACATGGCAAAACCCTGTCTCTACAAAAAATACAAAAATTAGCTGGGTGTGATGGCATGTGCCTGTAATCCCAGCTACTCAGGAGGCTGAGGTGGGAGGATCACCTGAGCCTGGGGAGGCTGAGGCTGCAGTGAACTATGATTGAGCCACCACACTCCAGCCTGGGTGACAGAGTGAGATCCTATCTCAGAAAAAAAAAAAAAAAAAAAAAAAAAAAAAAAAAAAAAAAAAAAAAAAGAAAAACAAAAAAACACCTACTGGAAGTACCTCATACAGTGCTTTTATAATTAGCTTTAACTTTTTTCTGTGCTATTATTTTTCATCAATATTTTTCTAATATTAACTCTAAAACAGTTCATTACATGTATATAACACAAATCATTACGAATTCCATATTATTGAACTTTTAATTGGTTTCCAATGTTGGCTGCTATAGTAATGTCATGAACATACTTTGAGTATATTTTTGGGTACTTTCTGAGATAAATCTGTAAGGGCAAATTAAAACTGCTAGAATAAAGCAATTTTGCTTATACACTTGTATGAAGGTTGGTATTCACTGCTAAAATGAACCAGTTTATACTTTCACCACTGGTGTGTGAGGTCTCCCTGAATCTCCAATGATAATGAAATTACCAACTTTCAATATCCTTGACAAAATGATCAGCTTATTATTTTTATTTGTGTTCTTTCATTACTAAGATGAGACATTTTATCGTATTTATTGGCCATTTGTATTTCTTCTTTTTTTTTTCTTTTTAGGCTAGTCAAATGAAGCAGCGGGAGTGAAGAAAGAACAAAGAAGTCTATAACTGGTTGTGATCAATTCGTTGTAAAATACAACCTCCCTGGGACTAGCCTGTGTTTCTGTTTTTTTGTGAACTGTCAGTTCATGCACCTGACTTATCTTCTACAGGTCTCAGATACCTTATAGAGTGCTCTGTATATAGAAATAATTAAAACCCTCTGTTATAAATCATTGTGGCTGGGAACGGTGTCTCATGCCTGTAATCCCAGCACTTTGGGAGGGCGAGGTGGACTGATCACCTGAGGTCAGGAGTTCGAAACCATCCTGGCCAACATGGCAAAACCCCATCTCCACTAAAAATACAAAAGATTAGCCAGGCATGGTGGTAGGCGCCTGTAATCCCAGCTACTCAGCAGGCTGAGGCAGGAGAATCTCCTGAACCCAGGAAGTGGAGGTTGCAGTGAGCCGAGACTATGCCATTGCATTCCAGCCTGGGTGACAGAGTGAGACTCAGTCTCAAAAAAACAAACAAATAAATCAATCATTGCAATTTTTCTTGAGCTTGTTTGCATGTAAAGTATGTATTATTTGAAGTCAAAAGTTTAATTTCTTTCTTTTTTTTTTTTTTTTGAGACGGAGTTTTCTTCTTGTCACCCATGCTGGAATACATGGTGTGGTCTCAGCTCACTGCAACCTCTGCCTCCCGGGTTCTTCTGCCTCAGCCTCCCAAGTAGTTGGGATTACAGGCGTCTGTCACCACACCCAGCTAATGTTTTGTATTTTTGTTAGATATGGGGTTTCACCATGTTGGCCAGGCTGGTCTGCCTCAAATTCCTGACCCCAGGTGATCCACCTGCCTTGGCCTCCCAAAGTGCTGGAATAGCAGATGTGAGTCACCAGGCCGGCCCAAAAGTTTAATTTTTATGTAGCTAAATGTAATCTTTTGTGTGGCTTTTAAGGTATGAAAAAAAAATCTTAAGAATTTTGGAGATATCCATGTTTGTTGCAACAAATGGCTAGTTATAAAATCACTCATATTGGTCTCCAATTAAAGTAAATTAACTTATCTCCAAACTCTAAGGCATTTCTTATATATTAAGCGTTTTAAGTATTTGGACATCAAAATATATGGATCTCCTCTTCTGATCTTTATGATACTCTCGGCTCTTAAAGACAGTGTTTTAACCATCACCAGGGCATTTATGATGATGGTATGCAGCAAACAATGAGGGGAACAATTGCAGCATTCACATTCAGAAAGCACAGACACAATCCAAATATATATCTTTTCTTTAGCCCTTCCCTTCCACAAATGGATTACCTTCAATGCAGGCAGGCTGAAGCCATCTGTAAAGTTATGCGCTTCCTCTTCTGAAATCTGCTCTTCACTAAGTCCAAGTCCCAGTTCCTTAAAAGGCACCACACAGATGTAGTTGGTTACATTGTCACTCTCAGAGTTCAGGGGGTAGGTTAAATTAGGTTAAGGCAATCAACAAAGCCTTTTCATGACAGCATAAAAGATACAGTGAAATTGTCCTAGATCACATTTACTATTCTGTATTCTGAAATTTTGCATGAGGAGATTTACAGCAGTTTTTAAACAAAAATTAATTTTAAATATCCAATATATTAACATAACACCTCAGTTATCTTAGAGAATACTTGTGAATACAATTTTTAATGTCTAAAATATTAAAAGTTCAACTCTTCAAAAGTGTTAAAGTGGTATCTATTTATTTATTTGAGATGGAGTCTTGCTCTGTCACCCAGGCTGGAGTGCAGTGGCACCAGCTTGGCTCACTGCAACCTCTGCCTCTCATGTTCAAGCAATTCTCATGTCTCAGCCTCCTGAGTAGCTGGGATTACAGGCATGTGCCACCACACCCAGCTAATTTTTGTATTTTTTGTAGAGATGGTGTTTTGCCATGTTGGCCAGGCTGGTCTCGAACTCCTGGCCTCAAGTGATACGCCTGCCTTGGCCTCCCAGAGTGCTGGGATTACAGGCATGAGTCATTGTGCCTGGCCCTGTTATTTTTGACACCTGCCTTTTGAAGCTGTATTGTGCACTTTATTGTGTCATGGTTTAGGGCCCTCACTATGCTATAGCAAACACTCTTCTTCTCAGTCTGAATACTTCAGGACATCATTAGTTGAATGTTATTTGAAATACACAGACTGATATAAGTGGCACTAGGTCTGTTCTATAGACTACTGTTAGGTTTCCTCTGCCCTCCTCCTTACAGACACTTCAAAATCAACAATGATTTTTCCGTTTAATTGTTTTTCTAAATAATTATATCCATATAATTCTTGATGATGAACCATCCTTGCATTTCTAGCATATTCCTATTTGGTTATACTATAATAATCTTTTGATACAAACCAATATTAAATTTATAAATATTCTATTTAAACATTTTGTATCCCCATTTGTGAGACTGGTCTATATTCTTTGTAATAAACTGGTTTTTATTCTTTGTAATACAACATGATTTGGTATTGAGATTATAGTATTTTCATAAGTAAAATGATATAGAGAAACTTTCTAATCTTTTCTATAGTCTGAAATTTTTAAAAGCTTTAAAACCATCTGGATCTGGTAGTTAAAAAATTTTACATTCACTTTGTTTTTGAATAGGTAATATATTCACAGAATTCAAAAATCACACGATATTAAGGGATACAGCAAAAACTACTTTCGGCCTCTATTCCTTAGCCATGTAGTTACACTATCCAAATGGAAAGGCAATTCCTGTTACCAGTACCTTCTAAGATTTTTTATACATACATACATAAAAGCAAATTCAAATATAAATGTGTATCTGGAGATATGTAGGTAGATATACATGCATGTAAACAAACATACACATTTATCACTGTATAAACACAGTTCCTTTTATGCACAACTTGAAGGATACAATAAATACTGATCCATGCACTTTGCAGTTTTTTTTCACTTAATATAATTTGGAGATCCACAGTAGAACATTAAGAACTATACTACTGTTTTAAAAAATAGTTTCATATTTTCCATTGTCTACATATAAACCAGGTGTTTTCTTCTTAAAATTGAGTATTCTTTAACCTATGTCCAATCTCTTCAAGTTTTAAAATTCTTCCTATGTCAATTTTGCAGATTTTTATTTTGATAAGAAATGAGGCTGGGCTCAGTGGCTCATGCCTATAATAATCCCAGCACTGCGGGGGGCCGAGGCAAGAGGATCCTTTGAGCCCAGGAGTTCGAGACCAATCTGGACAAAATGGTGAAATCCTGTCTCTACAAAATGAAAAACAATTAGCCAGGTGTGGTAGCATGTGCCTTGGTCCCAGCTACTCAGGAGGCTAAGACAGGAGGATTGCATGAGGCCACAGTGAGCTGTGATCATGCCACCACACTCCACTGTGGGTAACAGAGCAAGAAAGACCCTGTCTCAAAAGAAACAAAAAGAACCACTTTTGCCTACATTTTCTTTCTTTCTTTTTTTTTTTTTTTTTTTTGAGACAGGGTCTCACTGTCACCAAGCGCCAGGCTGGAGTACAGTGGCATAATCTCGGCTCACTGCAACCTCCGCTTCCCGGGTTCAAGCAATTCTCCTGCCTCAGCCTCCCGAGTAGCTGGGACTACAGGTGCACACCACCACGCCCAGCTAATTTTTGTATTTTTAGTAGAGACAGGGTTTCACCATGTTGGCCAGGATGATCTCGATCTCTTGACCTCGTGAACTGCCCACCTCAGCCTCCCAAAGTGCTTGGATTACAGGTTTGAGTCACCAAGCCCGGCCGTTGCCTACATTTTCAAAGTTGCTGCTGTGGAGTTGCACACTATCCCTTACAGTTATTTTAATGTCTTCCACATCCATGGTTACCACTGTCTTCTCATTACTAATCTTGTATATTGCTGCTCTTTACTTTGATCAGGCAAACAAAGGTTCAAGGGTTTACATATCTTTTTTTTTTTTTAAGATGTAGTTTTGCTCTTGTTGCCCAGGCTGGAGTGCAATGGCGTGATCTTGGCTCACCGCAACCACTGCCTCCCGCGTTCAAGTGATTCTCCTGCCTCAGCCTCCTGAGTAGCTGGGATTACAGGCATATGCCACCATACCTGGCTAATTTTTTCGTATTTTTAATAGAGATGGGGTTTTTCCATGTTGGTCAGGCTGGTGTCAAACTCACGACCTCAGGTGATCTGTCTGCCTCAGCCTCCCAAAGTGCTGGGATTACAGGTGTGAGCCACTGCGCCCAGACAGGTTTACATATCCTACTGGTCTTCTCAGAATGATTGGTGGATTCTTTTTCAGTTTAATTTATTAAGGTTTCTTGTATGGAGAATATGATCTGGTCCCAGGCTACCTCTGAGTCTCATTTCATACTCTAACCTCCAACTTGCTGTGCTCAACTCATGATGGCCTTCTTTCTATATTCCAATCATGCTGAATTCATCCTTGCCATCAGATCTTTATACTCACTGGTCTATCTAACTGGCATACTCTTCCTCCAGCTCTTTCTCATTATGCAAACCCCAGTTTAAATGCCAGCTCCTCAGTGAGGCCTTCCCTTACCATCTAATAAAAAGCAGCACTCCACCAATCATTCTCCATCCTATTCCCCCGGTTTTTTTCTTTACAGTAACTATTTTATCTGAAAAATCCCATCTGTCCATATATTTTATTTATCTACTTATTTATTTATTTTTGAGACAGGCTCTCACTCTGTTGCCCAGGCTGGAGTGCAGTGGCACAAACACAGCTTACTGCAGCCTTGACCTTTGGGGCTCAAGGAATACTGCTGTCTCACCCATTCAAGTAGCTGGGAGTCCAGGTATGTGCGTGTGTGCCACTACACAACTAATTTAAAATAATTTTTGGAGGTGGGGTTAGAGACAGGGTCTCACTATGTTGTCCAGGCTGGTCTCGAACTCCTGGGCTCAAGTAATCCTCCTGCCTCAGCTTCTGAAAGTGCTAGCATTACAGGCATAAGCCACCACACTCAGGCCATGTTTTATTGATTATTTTATCTACTACAAGGTAAGCTCCATGAGAAAAATAATCTTGTCTATCTTGTTCACTGCTAGGTCCCCAGTTTCCAGAAAAATGACTGGCACAAAGAACTCATATAATATGTAGTCTTTAATAGGCTAGCCCTCTCACTCCCTAGCCCACATTGAACTACAAGCTCCGTAAGGCAGGGATCATGTCTATTATGTTTATCACTGTATGTCTAGTGATTAGCATAATGCCTGGCAGTCTGTGCTCAATAAATATTGACTGAATGACCAACAGTTCACATGCCACACTGTCATATCTCTATTTCTTTCCATATGTTTTTGCTTCCTTCTACCCGGAATGAAGACTCTTATCATCCTCATGGCCAACTCCTATTCATTCTCTGAAGCTCAACTTAGGTGTCACCTCCCTGAAAGCCTTCTCTGACCCCATAAGCCGGCCCCCTGCTACACTGGAAGGCACCCACGGCGCTTATATCATATTATGAATACTAATTTCTTTATTGATCACATTCAAAAGTCTTTACAAGTAGGTAGTACATATTTTTACTCAGTTTTCCCAGCACCTGGAAGAATGACTGACCTATAGCAGGCCAGCATTTAGGCAATGGGGGGACAAAATGGGCAAGTTCTTCCTAAAAATTTAAATGCTTTCTCTCCATTATATATATATGTGTGTGTGTGTCTCCATTTTATATATATGTGTGTGGAGATGCATATATACATACTTCATATGTATATGAAACTTCCATATACATATAAAGAGCGAGAGAGAGAGAGAGAGAGAGAGAGAGAAATGGTTTTAAGTCATAAGTCCTACAGTCAAGACACAACTTCATCTGTTAGTAGTTGTATGATACCAAACAAGTCACTTAACCTCTATTTTTGTTTTCTCATAAAATGGAGATAAGAAAATCTAGCTATAAAGGGATGTATAAGGATATGATAGAACATAAAGCATCCTGTAAACTTTAAGTATTATATTTATCAGTGCTGCAATACCCAGCATCCTGAAGTGGCAAAGTTGTCTTTTTGCCTTCTATTTAGTCAGAATTTAACTTATCTACATGTCTTTACTAACATAAAGCTCTTAAATGCCTTTATTTTCTGGCTAATAGAACTAATTTCCTATTTTAATAAGTTTAAGCGACAGACTTATTGTCATGTAGTCTCTGAGTGCTTACTATAATGCCAGATGCTATCTGATCTCTTTACATGCACTAACTTATTTGATCCTAACAAAAATCCAATAAGGAAGATCATGTTATTACTGCCATCTTAAACATGAGTAAAGCAAGGTACAGAGAGAGGTTAAGAAACTCGCTTAAGGTTACTGATAACTCCACTGATAGCCAGTGTTTGAACTTAGCCATTCTGCTCCTAGAACCTGTTTTTTTTTTTTTTTTTTTTGAAAAGGGAAGGATTTCTAGTTGCCAGTTTATTAACGTGCCATGATGCAAATCTGCCATGTTAAGAAATTTTAAAAAAAATGTCAGATCTAGCAAAGCCAGGCTCTTTTGACTTCATTCTTTGGATGACTAAAGGAAGAGACTTCAAGTTTTTTCCTTGTTTTTAAAGCAGCCACACAAGAGCAGAATTGCTTCCTGTCTGTTATTGTCATTCCCCCAGGAATGCATTTCCAGTTTTAACATAGAAGCGATGATGGAAATTAGCTTCAAAATAGCCAATCTCATTTTACAGTAAACTTTCACAGGATACAACTACAGTATCTACAATACCAGGACTCCAGAAACATTGCTTATTTTCATATATAAACAGAAAAGGATATTTTTTCAGCATATATAGGGTAGCTAGCCTTGCTGCTTGGAAGTTGGCTCTTACAGTTCGGTAGACAGCTTTCCGAAGACCGATGAGATGCTGATTTGGATGCTGTCCAGCTTTATTAAATGGGCAAGCAGCACTGACCCTGTCAAGCAAACTTGAAAAGTAAAATGTGATACAACTGTACAGGTGTCCTAAAGTTTTTGTTTCCTAAATCCACAATTCTATTAAATGTAGAAAACAAATTTCTCTTTCATGATTTTCACTAGAAAATGATTATGTCAACTCAGGTCTCATAAAACAGTCATTTCTGTGAATATATATATAGAGAGGCAGCCACTAAAAAAAAAGGACAGATAAAAAATTAAAATCTCAAAGAGCAAAGGCTTCCTCTGATGTGGGGAAACAATGGATTCTGGCTGAGATATAACAGAAATGTAGAAATATTTATTAAGAATTAACATCCTTTTTACATAGACACTCTGCTTGCTAAAATATATTAGAGAGGAGCTATTTTATGTTCAGTTTTCAAAACCTACATCCATAGGAAATATAAAGACCTTAATTATCAACACTTTCAAATATACATTCACATATGTTCATTACATATGTTACTGATCATATTTTGGTCACTTGTACAGAAATAATACTGTATAGAAATACATTCTGTACATTCATAAAAGTAGGGCAAAATTACTTACCCACCTGCTGCCACTGGCACTTACCTACTCAAAATGAAGTAGGGCACGTGGAAAGATAACAGGACCAGTGGCCAACAGGGGAATGCAAGTAGAAAGGCAAAGTAAGTGTTACTACATAGTAGCATAGCTACTTTCAAAGCTGTTCAAGAGGAAGCACATTTGATGGCACTTCCCATAAGAGTATGGGGAGTATCTAATTTATAAAAATGACATACAATGTATTACATTTCATAACTTACAGTATGCATGAGTAAATACCTGGTTATCAGATAATTTTTTTCACCTAAGCAGTAATCTTTCCCAACAGTAAAACAAAATACTGGCATTTGTAAATTCCTTATATTATAACCACAAAGCTATAAAACAAGACACTTAAAACTTTAAAAATGTTAAACCACACTAAAATGTATTCAGGCATTAAACATCTATAAAAAGAAAATTTTTAAAAAATCAATAAAAAGCATAGGATGATGACTGACAGGCTTATGCTAAGACAAGGGAATTAAGGAAAAAAGGCTTCAATTATTTGCTAGAGAAAACAATTTGAGGCAGAAACAAAAAAAGCATTCATGATTCCAATATATGGCACTACTGCTTGTGCTCCATTTTACTAAATCAGTTTTAAAAACTAATTTTGAAAATGTCTAAAAAATCATGATTCAAGATTTATTATTCCTCATTTTTCAACCCATTATCCAGTTAGATAGAGACAAAAGGAAGCACAATTTCTTCCAAAATGTTTTCTCCCTATCCGTCAACTGAATGGGTAGAAGGCATAATCTGGAGGTAAATCATGTCTAACTGGCCCACTTTACCTCTTCATGCAAATTCCATGGGTATAGGTAAAGTTGGAAAATGACACAAAGCACAGAATCCTCTATACATGCCTAGCCATTAGTTGAACACAAAGCCACTTTGTTTAACCAGTCAGTCCTCTCTATAAAATAAAAAGGAACTATTACTTAAGTGGGATTTTTTTAAACTTTTAAAATTTGACATTCAAACAACTTAAAATATGCTATCCTTTAAGTCAATAAGAAGTAGACTTAAACTAATGGAAGGACAAAAATCAACAGATGCTAAAGACTTTTATACTTTATTTTTTTTGAGACCAAGTCTGTTGGCCAGCCTAGCAGAATCTGTTGTCTCTAGTTCTGTTGCCCAAGCTGGAGTGCAGGGGAGCAATCTCAGCTCACTGCACCCTTAACCTCCTGGGTTCAAGCAATCCTCATGCCTCAGCCTCCTGAGTAGCTGGGACTACAGGTACATGCCACCACATCTGGCTAATCTTTTATTATTTGTAGAGATGGGGCCTCACTAGGTTGCCTAGGCTACTCTTGAACTCCTGGGCTCAAGTGATCCATATGTCTCGACCTCCCAAAGTGCTGGGATTATAGGTATGCGCCATTGCACCTGGCAGACTTTTATACTTTGAGAAGAAAGAGAAATTATAAAATCTGTCTTATGTCTTGGAATTGTGTGTAGACCACAAAAGAGTAAAGAACAAGAAAACTACTGGGATTCTTCCATTTCTCTGTTCCATGATTTTCTAGAAACAGTGTTTAAGTCAAGATTGTGTAGTATGCTAGAGCAGAACAGAGTGAAAGATGTGATGACTACCAGAGGTTCTTCACTCCCTCTTTTCATGATTTTCTAGATACAACTAATTAAGAGCTGTGAATGTTCTTTACCATACACTTACTTTATCCCACCTATAGATTGCACAAGTTATATAGGTTATATAAGTTATTAACTATGCTAGCATACAAGTGCCATCTGTTAGTGTTTGGCAGGTGTCCAGTGTACTGCAAGCAGGCTTTAGAATCAGATGGAATGGAAATTAATATTTACCATTTATAATTCTATGCCTTTAGTTGTATGCAAAAGCGACTAGCATTGTATATGGAACATAGTTGGTGCTCAATAAATGTAACCTTCCCTTTAATAATAGATTAAGTAGCTAGTACATCCTACAGCTTAATATACTTACAGCTAGGTTGGTGAATATTTAATTTCCTGTGAGAATGGGAAACATCACTGTTTGCATGATATTCACAGAGTATCAGTGCTGTAATATCTGCTAATATTTACCTAAACAGTTATTAGTACATGTCAGGAGTTTTCAAAATGAATTTATAGCAGATATGTTTATCATAAAAAAGGCATTTGAAAGGGAGTAAAGGGAGCAAGCATTTACTGGGTAATTATTTCGTGTTAGGTTCAGTATTAGACACTATATATATATTATCTCATATAATCACATGGTAACATGCAGAAATACTCATGACCTCCAAAATACATTAGTTTCTGAAAGTAGATAAGCAGAATCATACTACATATTAAATCTAGCACATAATATATTTATTCCTTCACTTAGCAGTTAATTGACTTTGGTAAATACTAAAGAGAAAAGCACTTCTTTCCTATAAATGCAACACAGGAATGAAAATAGTTAATAAATATTCTCCTTTATGGAGTAGAAAATAATCATTTAAGAAATAAAATAAAAAATGAACTCACAGTGTAAATCCTCTGGAAATCACTTCGGTTTCTTGAATGAGACGTAAAGCTTTTCTCACGAGGTTAGTAAAAGCTCGGCTGTTTGTGGCCATATCTTCCAAACGAACACTGTATTTTTTTAGGGTCATTTGTAGTTTGGCTGTCCTCCATAGTCTCAAAGCTCTTATGACCAAATACACAAACAGAATCACTCCCCACACCAGCCAGGAAGACACAATCCACCAGGTGGGAAGCATAACAAGCAAGCTAATGAAGGCAAATAGCATTGAGACATCCCTGGGAACAAGAAAGGAAGAAAATGATAGCCATCAGATTAGAGAAAGAAAGGTGAGTTACTTTAATCAGTAAAAGCAAAATTTAAATTTAGGTTTACTGAAGAGATAAAATGCTAGTCTCTTTGTAAAGCATAACTTAAAAAAATACAACATTTAAGAAGGTGATGTGAAAGATTCTTAAAATACCTCGCAAAAGACAATAGTGCTTAGGTATTAACATCTAAGCTGATAAGTTTAAGTAAGAACATTAGAAACAGGTGTCTTCTGCAATCAGGTAAAGCTGATTTCACAAAAGAAACTCAGAGAACTTCTCTATAGGTGGTAATTGAATGCTGGGCAGCACCAACGAAAGGCCTAAATATACAGTCTCCAGACTACAAATACCACCTATCGCCTGCAGGATAAAACCAAACTTCATTAGCTCAGCCTACATGATCCTTCAGAGGCTGGCCCAGATCACGACTTGACTCAGATCAGCAACCCAGCCCTCAACTCCAAGTATTGTAAACCAAAACATCTCTTCCTTCTCTTTCCTTTTTGCCTGGTGTCATCTTATATTTAATACCAAAACCCAATCCTTCAAATTGTCCTCTTGACACCAAGTCTTCAGTGAAGATTTTACCAAAAGCTTGAAACAATTGCTTCTAATTCTAGCCAACCCCTCTTCTGTGACCCCAAAGCAATTGTTACATTTCTCTTTATAAAATAAAAATGATAATAAATACAAAAATAGGTGTCTTCTGAAACCACTTTTTAAAAAAATATAAAAGATATGGAATCCTTAACCTAAAAAGCAAATTAGAGATTTTAAAATCCAATTTTATAGATCTAAAAGTAAAAATACTGTTTCAGAGATATCATAAATCCCTTTTTCCTAAAATCAAACTTTATTTGTATAGAAACACATACTATATCAATAATATGTACACCTTTTTCCAATTAGAAATTATATATACTTGATGAGTAATTGTTTGAATAAAGTCCTCAAATTTTAAATAATCATCATTATTAATTTGGAATATACATACTTACCACAGACCATGATATGGACAAACTTTGTACTTTTATACTGCTTTAATTGAAATAAAAATATATACACATTTTAAAATTCATGTCAATTACAAATCTAACAGACTAAAATACATCTTTAAAGCAATAATGCTTTGGTGAAAATGTGTCTATAAAAGAAAGGCGGGGCCAGGCACAGTGGCTCACACCTGTAATCTCAGCACTTTGAGAGGCAGATTTGGGAGGATCACTTGAGCCCAGGAGTTCGAGACTAGCCTGGGCAACACGCTGGGACCCCGTCTCTGAAAAAAATTCAAAAATTAGCCAGGTGTGGTGGCATGCATCCGTAGTTCCAACTACTCAGGAGGCTGAGGTGGGAGGATCACTTGAGCAGGCTGCAGTGAGTTGAGATCACGCCACTGCACTCTAGCTGGGTGACAAAGCAAGACCTTGTCTCAGAAAAAAAAAAAGAAAAGAAAGAAGGGAAGATAAGGGTGATATATCTGAAAATAGCTGAAAAACATCTTTGGAAAGAGTTATAGTAATACTGCAAAGAAAATCACATGCAAGAATGTTTCTTATTAAATATTTTCCCTAGCCAGGTACAGGGGCTTATGCCTGTAACCCCAGCACTTTGGGAGGCTGAGGCAGGCAGGTCACTTGAGGACAGGAGTTCAAGACCAGCCTAGGCAACATGACAAAACGCTGTCTCTACAAAAAACAAAAATTAGCCAGGTGTGGTGGCGTGCTCCTATAGTCTCAGGTATTTGGGAGGCTAGGGTGGGAGGATCACTTGAGTCTAGGAGGCCAAGGCTGCAGTGAGCCGAGATTATACCTCTGTATTCCAGCCTAAGCCACAGAGTGAGACCCTGTCTCAAAAAATAAGTAAATAAATAAACATTTGCCCTAATTTCATTTAGAATCCTTTACTTTTTAAATGACACGGGTAATGCCATAAAGCAAAATCTCATCATATATTTTTATATATTAATAGTAAGCTCTAAAGTCATTTATAGGTCTCATAGTTGCTTGGTTATATTTGTGGTTAAAAGAAATAGTAAAGTAGTAAATTCATAAAAACCAAATAAAATAAAAACCTATGGTTCCTTCTATCAGCTTCTTAAATTCTCATATTTTTGAAGAATAAGATGCTTTACTTCTGCATGATCATATCTAAGTGACTGCAGAATGAAGCATTTGTCAGCGTGACAGGAAAGGCATAAATCCAGAACCTTAAGGCCAATGTTACTGCCTATATAACTTGAATAGTTTGAGCAGTGATCTAGTGCATTTCTTGACTCATTCCTCCCTTCTATGTCAAATTTAATAAAGTACTTTAACAGAAAGAAGACATTAATAATTCTTTATATATAATCCCTTTTTGTTACACATTCTTTTTTTTTAAAATAGATTATTGGGACTTCTGCTCTAGACCCAAATAGTTCAAGAGGTTGAAAAGTTCTAGGATGGTCTGAATCATCAAATCATGTTCCCTATGATCTTTTCTCAGCGAACACAGTCAGAATCAACTGTCTACTTCCATGTCCCATTCTATTCTTGGTGTCTATAATATGGTTATGATAAAACCTATTAATTATAAAGAAACATAAAGAACAATAGGTTTGCATGCACACTTATGCATAGGTATATGGGTAAAAGAAATTCTTTTTTTGTTTAGAGATAGGTTCTCGCTCTGTTGCTCAGGTTGGAGTGCAGTGGTATGATCATGGCTCACTGCACCTTCCAGCTCCTGGGCTCCAGTGATCCTCCCACATCAGTCTCCCATGTAGTTGGACTACAGGCATATGCTACCATATCTGAACTCATTTTTTAATGTTTTGTAGAGATGGAGTTTTGCTATGTTGCCCAGACCAGTCTCAAACTATTGGACTTAAGCAATCCTACTGCCTCGGCCTCCCAAAGTGTTGGGATTATAGGCATGAGCCACTGCATCTGGCAGAGTAACTTTTCAGCACTTGTTATGCCCATTTGCTAGGTTGCTGAGCACAGAACTAACTTCAATGAGTTGGAAGTATATAATAACCAAATTGGACTTTTTCCTAGCTTCACTTTAAATAGCATTTACTTTAAAAAGGCACTTTTTTTTCCCATATCATTACTTTAATTCTACTGCTAAATGTATGGAATGTTTATGCCTTTATAATGGAGAGCATGACGATGGGTTTCCTCTGCTAATACTCTATATGTAAGCAGTCAAAGAATAGGTGTTTTTTGGACAGTACCAAATATTAGGGGTTGCCAGGGAGCAAAGTGTTGGAAGGTGTCCATTTTCCTGTTGTTGAGATTGTCCTGCAGACAGGATACTGGGATCAAGTAGTTCAATCAGCTCCACATCCTCTTGTAACAGGACTTCCTGTTGCAGGATGGTATGCAATGAGTCGAGTCGGAATCCAATATCCTTGCCATTAAAATACCAGAAAAGAGGTATTAATACATATATAATATTGCATTAAATGCTAAGCTCCTAATGTGCTAATAAAATTTAGTGGTGTTTATTTTCAGAAGATATTTCAAGAAGAAACAACAGTCGAATCTACCTTCAGTATGATAGATGGACTTTATTTTCATTGGACATGTGAAACAATAAAGATCAAGGTAGACATTATTGAGTCATCAGATGTAAAATACAAATTTTTAATAACAAGATGTAAAGTAATTACAGAATAACAAACCTGTCTAGTTAAGCCTAATTAATTAAATTGCTAGGGCACAACATGAAAAATATAATCCTATAACATAAAAAATGCTGTCTCTGAAACTGTAACAATATAGCCAATATTTAAGAATTTTATCAGCAGGATCAAGGCCTCCTAAAAATAGATATGGAGATATTTAAAAATATATTATTAAGGAATGTAATGTAAAATCACACTAACATTTGCATAGCACTTTATAGTTTACAAAATGCCTTCACATATACCAGCTCATTTATTCCTCCCTCTCTTCCTTCTGTTCATCTATTAAGGAATATATTCTATAAGCCAGGTACCATGCTTGACACTGAAGACACTAAATGAACAAGATATATAAGTCTCTGTCCCTAAAGTCCCAAAAAGTAAACAGTTGCAATATAACATGCAAAGGAGTGTGATGAAATACACCCAGAGTACTATGAAAATGGCATAAAGGGACCAAGCCTGTAATAAAGTCAGAGAAAGTAAGAGGGGTGAAGCCTGAGCTAAGTTTTAAAGGATGAACAAGAATTGACCAGACGAGGGAGTTGGAGAAGTGGGATGATACAGGATAAAGGCCTTTCTAATTTGAGGAAGTGTGAGTTGTCTGATATTAGACGATATTATTAATAGATTGTGTGCAGAGTATACATGGTAGAGAGGTGAGAGATGAGGTGCACTGTTAGCGCAGACAGGTGAATTCTCAAAGCAACCCTGTGATGTACCTCATCCTCCTCTCCATTATATATGGGAGAACACCAAAGCCCAAAGAGATTAAGAATTTTGATTTCAAATCCTAAGCATTTGGTAGCTGTGTTTCCCTACATATAGTCTGCCTCAAAAGAAAATTTAAAGTTGTATTTCGTATTAAATTTAAACAAATAGAGGCTGGGTGCAGTGGCTCATGCCTGTAGTCCCAGCACTTTGAAAGGCCAAGGTGGGTGGATCGCCTGAGGTCAGGAGTTCGAGACCGGCCTGGCCAATATGGTGAAACCCCATCTCCACTAAAATACAAAAATTAGCCAGGCGTGGTGGTGGTGGTGGTGGCCTATGCCTACAATCCCAGCTACCTGGGAAGCTAAGGCAGGAGAATCTCTTGAACCCAGGAGGTGGAAGTTGCAGTGAGCCGAGATTGTGCCACTGCACTACAGCCTGCGTGACAGAGCAAGGCTTCATCTCAAAAACAAACAAAAAAATTAGTACTGCAGTGATCCTATTATATGATCAAAATAAAGAGAACAATGGACAAGCCCATTTGCAATTAAAGTAAGTCCCATTAGGTCTACGGTGTGAAGGCAACAGGTTTGCTCTTCTTAGTTAATTTAATCATTCCCACACCACACATTCCAGCCGTAGCTGATCACAATGAGGACTTCAGTAAGAATGTGGTGAACCATAAATCAAACTGAGCCCATGACCTCTTGATCAGGGTTATATGCCACTTTTAGAGAAGAAGATTTTTAATATTAGGTGCATTTAGATAGATTTTATTTACCTTCAGTCCAAAAAGAGACCATCTTCTCAATGGAATGTTGATCCTTCTTTTAGCCTGATGTGGCTTTTTTAAAAACATCTACTGACACACTCTGCATGTACCTCTGCAGCACTTTTATGTCACATATTTGAACAATTGTCTCTTCTCTCTTCCTACAATTCTGATTCTAACATTAGAAACCACTTAACTATTTGACATACCACCCCACTTTCATAAAGACAGGGCAACACAACTCACTTTATACTATTGTTCAGAGGGGAGAAAAAGGAGCGCAGGGAGATCAGGCACTGTAGCTTTTCAAGTAATCTCTGAAATCGATCTTACTACTTGGTTCCCCAATTCGACACAGCCCATATTCAATGCAAGTATTAAAACTCAAACTTTTGCTACAAAAGCTTTAAACCATACCTTTTATGAGACTTCTATGTACCTATATAAGGTAAGTTTAATGAAGCCTAACTAGATGAAGGCTAAGGCTTACAGAGAGTGGACAAGCCATTAATATTCAACGGGAGCACTCTCTCTTCACAGATAGATTCTGCTTAATCAGTTACTCACTTTCTTCAACACCATTCCCTGGCATCAGACTCATGTAAAACTGGGGTAACACCTCCCCAAAACCAACCTTAGAGGAAGTATTAAAATCATTAGGAATATCTGATTCAAGAATGTGACAAAGCAGCCAGGTGCTGTGGTTCACCCCTAAGTGCTTAGGGGTTGCCAGGGAACAAGTGCTCAAATCCAATCCCAGCACTTTGGGAAGCTAAGGCAGACAGATCACTTGAGGCCAGGACTTCGAGACCAGCATGGCCAACATAGTGAAACCCTACCTCTACTAAAAAGACAAAAATTAGCCGGGTGTGGTGACGTGTACCTGTAGTCCCAGCTACTTGTGAGGCTGAGGCACAAGAATTGCTTGAGCCCAGGAGGTGGAGGTTGCAGTGAGCCAAGACTCCAGTCTGGGCAATACAGCGAGACTCTGTCACAAAAAAAAAAAAAAAAAAAAAAGAAAAAGGAAAGAATGTGACCAACGAACAACCTACAATCATCTATGCATTCAAATAAACTGGAAAGGTACCAAAACACTCCAAATAACTAAAACAGTGTTATGTTAGTGATTAGATTGCCTCACACAGAGGAAAAACTTGAACTATATTCTGATTATTATAGCTGTTTAAATTGAATCAGGTTAATGAATTAAGTTTCTCAGGGAAAAAATATTACTCTTTGATTTTAAAAATATGAACTGCAGAAAACTGTGTTACAATGTAACAATCGAACTTTCATAAAGACAGGGCAACACAACCCACTTTATTATTTACTTATTTATCACCTCAAATTAAGAAACATGTCATGACAGTTCTATTTGGACTGGGAGGTCCAGATCGAGGTCTCAAACAAATGAAGAAATTGAAAAGGTACTAATTGTGATCAACTAGCAGGTATCACCTGCATAGCTAGAGGTTCTATGCTCCTAGGAGGTATACTATGTAAACTTTGGCGCATTTTCAACAAGTCTGACTGCCAAGCTTTGTATCCTTGAGTGTCTAGCTTTGTATCCTTGCTCCACAACTTAAGCACATTAATAAGCTCTCTGTGCCAGTTTCCTCTTCTGCAAAATGGGGATAGTAACAGTACCTACATTATAGGGTTGTAATGAGGATTAATTCAGTCATTATCTGTAAAATACCAAGAGGAGTGTTGGGCACATAGTAAGCACTGTGTTAGCTGTTACTGTTGTTACTATCTATGCAATAATTAATAAAGGAAAGCACATGTTGGATATAATACAATACAAAAACTTACAGAACAAAACATAATTATTGCTAGATTGATGCAGAAAATAAGAGATACAATAGGCTGAAGTTTTGGGAAAGCTTTGAGAAAAAGCTAAGAGTGCTTATTGAAAAGATTCCAATGGATCAAGAATAAAAACAGAAAGAATTCCATCACAGTATAAGAGCACAAACATAGACATACAGAATAAGTATGGAATAAAGGAAAATGAAGACTGGGTTCACTGATACATATACTGGTGGACAAAGCTGGAAATATAGGATAGGACCAAATTATGCAGACTCTAGCGATGAGGTGACGAATTTGGACTTGATTTGATTGATAAGATCTTTCTAGGATCTAAATAGGGATGTGGCATGAGAAAGTGCTTAGGAATTCCTTTCTGCCTGGATGAAATGAAAGGGTATGAGAAGGCACAGATAAAAAATTAAGAGATTTTGATTTCTTTTTCCTTAGGGATGAAGAACGGAACTTATTCATGTGTCTGTATTCTTTAAAGATCTTACACACTTTGTAATATCATGGTGCTATTGATATAAGGATCAAATGAGATAACATGTGTGAAAGCACTTTATAGGCTAAAAAGCACTTAAAAAGTGCTATTACCACTACCATCATCATTGCTATAAAGGAGTTTTTTTTAATTCTTAAGAAAAGTACTATAAAAATGAACAATAAGCAAAATGTTTTGCTATCACAGAGCAATTGCAAATATTCTTATAAAAGAGAAGAGAGCCTGCTTCAATATCTGTATAGCTAACAACATTTTAAATATGTCACAATCAAGGGGAAAAAGTCAAGCAATCTCACACCAAAAGCCAACTTGGCAATTTCTTGTTCCATTACTAGTAAACTATTCCTTATGCATGTATTCTTATAGTTCTCCATAATACAGGCACAAAAGGGATGCATACAGAAGCTGGCACTTTATAGTGAAACATCACATGAAACATGCGGTCAGTGACACAGAACCAAGAATGAAAGACCAGGCCTAGGCAGACTATGACTTAATCACAGAAAAATGTATACAGATCCATATACCTTACCACAGTCCTAGTATCACTGAAGAATGAGAGGGCTCCACCTGGATAAAAATGACATTCTATGTAGATGATAAGACACTTCATTGACCTTCTCAATACACCTTCAACGAAGATGAAACCCTGAACAAAGAACTTGACAATTTGGATTGCTAAAAAAGTAATTTTAGTCAGTCAAAAAATAATAATTCTTGAGCTAGAGAGGTTGTATGCTATAGCAGAAAGAGCAGGGGCTTTGGAACCAAGAGCACTGGGTTCAAATTCTGGGTCGATCACTATCTAGCTCTATCACTTTTTAGCTGAACATTTTTAAACAATTCACTCAGTAAGTTATTAAAGCAAACTGAATTATCTGAACCCTGGTTTTCTCACTTGTGAAGTCCACTAAATCTTACAGTGTTGTTTAGATTACCAAATCAAAATGTGAAAGCACTTTGTAAACAATCTCTTTACAAATGTTAATTTACAAGAATGATAATTCCTAAGGTCTCAGGCCAGCAGAGATCCTGAAACCTACTTATTCGCAACTACATTACTCCTTCTGGGAGCCATGAGAACCACATAACTTGAATTTTTAAATTATACTCCCTGAATTTTGTATTGTTAGGATGTCAGAAGGTTGAAGTATTCCCCCTCTGGAGTTCTGTTAACAGCAGAAAGTAGAAAAAACAAAACCTCACAAAAATCACAAAGACCCTTAAGGTTGACTGTTTCGAGTCTTTGGGAAATTCTGTGATTTAACAGATTGAATTGATCCCACTAATGACATATTCCATTACCTATGGAGAGGAATACCTGTCAATGGAGGAAGAGGGCAGTAGTAAATTAGCAATCTAACAAAGTTTCAATAACTGTCAGAATATTCTATTCTGAGTGGCTAACAACCTCATATAAAACTATCAACAATGCCAGTAAGCCCAAATTAAAAGACCCTGAGCAGAATCTCTAATACAAATCAATTATTTCCCAAACTGATAGTAAAGCAAATTCTGATTGACCAATTCTTTCACTAATAACCAAGAACCCTGAAAAGTGACAAAAAGAAGTGACCACTTACCAACTTGTGAAGTAAGTCATCTTTCTTATTGCACTGAGAAAAAAAAATCCAACTTTTGATGGTTTCAGCCACTTTTAACAGGGTGCCTTGCTGAAGGAGATGAATGACATTGTATAGGATTATTAAAGCATACACAAACAGCAGAAAAACTTCAAGTTACTTACCTCCAATCAATCAGAATTTTTATCAGAAAAGGGAGAAAAAAATTGTCCAGGTTATATATTTTGTCAATATGTCTCAGCCTCCTTATTAGTTCCCAAATTTTGTTGCACATCAGAATCACCTGGAGATTTTAGTTAGAAACATATTCTTGGGCCCCCAAACTAAACATTCTGACTCAATAGATTTGGAATGAGGCCTGAAAATCCAATTTCTAAAGAGCAGGCAGAAGTCTTCCTGATGCAGCCCATTTAATCTGGAGACTATGTACTATCTATGTCAACATGACAATATTATCTACTTCAGAATGAAAAACCATAGGGTGGTTACAAGTTCTGAAATATTAAGACCATTTCATTCCACAACTCTAAGTCAAAAAGATACTTTAATCATTTTAGAAAAACTGTAACATATTGAAATAAAAGCTTTACTATTGAATCAACCAAAAATTCAATTTACCTTAATAGCCCATTCCTTGAGCATGCCAGTAAGTGGAGTTTATATTCATTGAGAGATTAATATATCCCAGGTACTGCAAAGGGTCATGGGAAAAAAGATAAATACATGTAACTGCTGTTTTCAAGAACTTAGTATAGAAGAAGAGACAATATAAAGAATTACAAATCAATGTAAAGTCTGAAAAAGTGTAAGAGGAGGTCAGAGAGGAGATAACACTGGAGCTGAGCCCTAACAGATAAGTGGAAATTCAACAAAGAAGGGAAGAATGGGCCAAGTGCAGTGGATCACGCCTGTAATCCCAGCACTTTGGGAGGCCAAGGCAGGTGAATCACCTGAGGTTGGGAGTTCGAGACCAGCCTGACCAACATGGGGAAAGCCCGTCTCTGTTAAAAATTAAAAATTAGCCAGGGGTGGTGGCTCATGCCTATAATCCCAGCTACTCGGGAGGCTAAGGCAGGAGAATCGCTTGAATTCAGGAGGTAGAGGTTGCAGTGAGCTGAGATCACGCCATTGCACTTCAGCCTGGGCAATAAGAGCAAAATTGCATCTCAATAAAAAGAAAAGAAGGGAAGAACATTTCAGTCAAGGGAAGAGGATGAAGGAAAGAGTCATGAAAGCACATGGCATGGAGATGGCGGCATAGTCCAGGACAGTTAGGACCCAAGAGAAGATGGAATTAGTAAGGAAGTTAAAATGGTACACGGAGATAGGTTTTAAAGGATCTTAGTCTTATATACCATAATAATATGGACATCATTCTGTACATTGTGAGGAGCTACCAAAGATTTTTATGCAAGAAAGCGAAACAATACAGAAAAATAACTGGCAATAGTGTGGAGGCTATACTGGCAGGGAATGACTGTAGACAAGAAGCATGATTAAGAGGATATTTAAGGCTGGGCACCATGGCTCACGCCTGTAATCCCGCACTTTGAGAGGCTGAAGCAGATGGATCACGGGGTCAGAAGTTTGAGCCCAGCCTTGCCAACTTAGTGAAACCCTGTCTCTACTAAAAATACAAAAAATTAGCCAGGCATGGTGGCAGGCACCTGTAATCCCAGCTACTAGGGAGGCTGTGCAGGAGAATCACTTGAACTGGGGAGGCAGAGGTTGCAATGAGCCAACATTGTGCCATTCAGCCCAGGTGACAGTGCGAGGCTCTGTCTGAAAAAAAAAAAAAGATGATGTTTAATAACCCAGCTAAATAACAACAAAGGCCTTTAAATTAGGTAATGAGTACAAAAAGGATCATGAATCAGAGTTAGATTTAAGAGACATAGAAGCTGACTTGATGTATCACTTGATGACCAAAGCTATGCCATGCAATTGGAAATGGTATGGCAACTGAGAGGGTGGTGATTTGGGACTATTAAAAAGAACATTTTTTGTTTGTTTTGAGGGTGTCTGAGGAAAGTCCTATTTTAGACAAGTTGAATCTGAGCTTTGTGAGGCACATGCAGATGAAAACGTCTAACAAGCATCTGGAACTCAGCAAAGCCTGGAGAATGGACATCAGTGGCAAGAAAGTATATGAGATTCCCAGGGAAGACATCAAGCCAATAAGAAGCCAGCTGCTAAAACTCTATGGAATGAATTTAAGAATAATCACAGGAAAAGACACCAGAAAAAGAGACAGAATGTGTATTTATGTTAAGAATACCAAGGCAGACTACTTAACAACTACTAACAATCATATGCAAAAATAAAGTTAAAAAAGAGAGGGCAATTAATGCTAAGGATAGTTTCATTAAGAACTCATAGAAAAATGCCTTTTCAAAGGAAATAATTGATACTTCACTCCTTGAACAGAATTTTGGGAGCAATTCTAAACATATATTCCCTGACAATGAGCTAAACAATACAACAGCTTTCTAAAATTTAGCTGTCTTCAGATTTAGAAAAAAATTGGCCAGGCACAGTGGCTCATGCCTGTAATCCCAGCGCTTTGGGAAGCTGAAGCAGATGGATCACTTGAGGTCAGGAGTTCAAGACCATCCTGGCCAACACGGTAAAACCTCGTCTCTACGAAAAACAGAAAAATGATCTGGGCTTGGTGGCCTGTGCCTGTAATCCCAGCGACTTGGGAGGCTGAGGCAGGATAATCGTTTGAACCTAGGAGGTGGAGACTGCAGTGAGCTGAGATCATGCTACTGCACTACAGCCTGGGCAACAGAGTGAGACTCTGTCTCAGAAAGAAAAAAAAAAAAAAAAAAGGAAAAAAATTCATTTTAGAAAAATATAGATCCTACAGTTTAAAAGATTGTCTTAGAAATGTGCAATATGGTTGGGTGCCTTGGCTCACACCTATAATCCCAGCACTTTGAAGCGCCAAGGGAGGAGGATTGCTTGAAGCCAGCAGTTTAAGACCAACCTGGGCAACACAGTGAGTGGCAATTTTTAAATCTGTACAAAAAAGAAAATTAGCTGGGCATGGTGGCACATGTCTGTGTCCCAGGTACTTGGGAGGTGGAGGCGGGGGGATCACTTGAGCACAAGAAGTGAAGGCTGCAGTGAATTGTGATCACACGACTGCACTCCAGCCTGGATGACAGAGGAAGACGCTGTCTCTAATAAATAAATAAATAGGCCAGGTGTGGTGGCTCACATCTGTAATTCCAGAACTTTGGGAGGCCAAGGCAGGTGGATCACAAGGTCAAGAGATCGAGACCATCCTGGCCAACATGGTGAAACCCCGTCTCTAGTAAAAAACACAAACATTAGCTGGGCATGGTGGTACACACCTGTAGTCCCAGATACTCAGGAGGTTGAGGTAGGAGAATCTCTTGAACCCAAGAAGCAGAGATTGCAGTGAGCCAAGATTGTGCCACTGCCCTCCAGCCTGGTGACAGAGTGAGACTCTGTCTCAAATATATAAATAAATAAATAAATGTGTAATACGAACACAAAACAAACTTTCTAGACATACGATAATTTTTTTGAGATGGGGTCTAGCTATGTTGCCCCAGCTGGTCTCCAACACGTGGGCTCAAGTGGTCCTCCTGCCTTGGCCTCCCAAAGTGCTGGGATTATAGACATGAGCCATTGTGCCTGGCCTGGTAATTTTAAAAAATATCCTGTGACAATGTTTTGTTGTTGTTATTGTTGTTGTTTAATGGTGTGACTATATTTTTATCGTTCTTCAATTTCTGAGGGGATTCAATTTTAAACTCTCACTTGATTTATTTATAAACTAGTGGCATTCCTAGATATAAAAATGCTTGCCATAAATGACAATAATACCTATAAAACCCAAGTTTGTATCAAAACAAAACAAAATCTTAGAGGTTAATGACCATCTGCTGTTCTAAGACTATCCCCTAGCCATTCTTTGTTTTGTGGTGCCAAGTAACCTCAAATCCAAGCTTATTAAATAGCCTATTGTATGTATCTACTAGGTTTTGCTTTCAAACCCCTTCCCAGGAACATTCATACTTAAAAGGGGTACAGGGAAGAAATGGTATAAATGGAGGACTAGGAAAACTGGTTCTGATCCATGTGTGTTCTAACTCTAACTCTTACCTCCTGGGTGTTAGTCAAAAAAATCTCTAGTATTTACTTGGCTGCTGCAAATAGGCCAGCTTGGTTACCTCACATATTAGGTGTTTTTGTAAGAAGATTGAGGGAAAGGCTCCTTCTGCCAATCCATGCTTCCCTACCTATCACAGTGGAGTAAATGACTAATTGAAAGCTTTAAATGCTCCTCTCAATAGTGATAAAACACTGATTAAACTAGAATGCTCAAGGAATGAGGAAATCTGGTTATATTTTTTATATTAAATTATAATTTTTTTAGTTAAAATTAAAATGTACTAGAAATGCACACAGAGGTTAAGAACATAAACTCTGGACATAAACTACAGGTTCTAATCCCAACTCTACCATTTATAAGCTATGTAACCTACAGTAATTTATAATCCTCCTATGCTTCAGGTGTCTCATCTAAAAATAGAGTAAATTTCTTTCTTTTTTTGCTTTTTTTGAGACAGAGTTTCGCTCTTGTTGCCCAGGCTGGAATGTAATGGCGCAATCACAGCTCACTGCCACCTCCACCTCCCAGGTTCAAGCGATTTTCCTGCCGCAGCCTCCCGAGTAGCTGGGACTACAGGCACCTGCCACCACGCCCAGTTAATTTTTGTACTTTTAGTAGAGACGAGATTTCACCATGTTGGCCAGGCTGGTCTCTAACTCTTGACCTCAGGCGATCTACCCGCCTCGGTGTCTCAAAGTATTGGGATTACAGGTGTGAGCTACTGTGCCTGGCCTATAAATTTCTTATTTTAGTAAACATGGCTTGCAGAACATAAATATATCTAGAAAATGCATTTTATAGAACATAATTAATGGAGATTTTTCTAGTATCTCGGCCTGACAATGCTGGACATCGACTATGAGATATTTACTGTATAAAAGCATGTAATTCTATAGATAAAAAAGGCACCAGAAGTTATATTCACTCCATTATATACCCCTGAAACTATGTTTAAGAAATATCAATTTGCTTTCTTGTAATTCACGCTGTTTTTTTTAAAAAAAGATTTAAAGAGAAAAAATCCAGTTGGTAGAGGATTCCTATTAGTTGTGTTCTCATTAAAGTTTTACTGTATTTTTCCAGTTTCACTTGGATAGCATCAATGTTTAAACGAACAATATATTTTAATTCTTCACCAAATTAATTTCCTCATTGGATATAAATCACCTACAAAATATTCCAAAGCAGTAAAGATTCATGTTTATCTAAACAGAAAGTGTTGTACTATTGACGAAATAAATAGTCTTACTTAGGCAGTGTAAGGAAGGACATGGAAGTGCTTAAGAAGTATCTGAATAGCCAATAATGGAAAGTGGAAAAGATTCAGCCATAAAGAATGAGCATGCTTTCTTACTTTTGGTAGGACTCTTGTAGGAGGCTTTTGTTGTCCCTCTGTTGTGCATTGTTCTGTTTTTGGTGACAAGGAAGAACATATTTCAAAGTCTGTGTGTCCCAGATCTTGTAAGTACTGGTAAAGTGGAGAATTCTGAAAAAGACATAAAACAAAGCAAATTTCAAGATCATTACTATTTCAAAAGTTTCAGAGGCCAAATTCAATATGACTTCACTATTGTGACTATTATATCCAAATTCTTTAAAGCTTCTTCTATAAGAACTGAATTATCTGTTACAATACAATGCCATTTAACACAAACAAATCAACAAACAATTCAACAGAGGAACCCCAAAAAAGAAAAACTCTAAATAAAATACACAGATTTTTTTTTAGTGAGTACCAGCAAGAAAAGATGAATTTAAAAATATAGATTGTGAAGTAATTTCATTGCCCAAATTTTTATAGTCTTAGAGTAGACTGCTTCAAAATAGCTAATGTTAGTTATAGATAGTTTATAAGACAATGTTATTACTCAAAGCCAAGAAGAATTAAACAGTGATTACATTGTGTGAATTATAATTTTATAATCTCATCATATGCCTTAAAGCATTCAAGCACAAATATGTATTCTCTACCATATGCTCAGCGCTGTGAACAAACTTAAAAGTCTTCAAGAAAGTTACCTTAGATAAGCTATATCTCACATATGCATATGGCAAATAGGACAGAGTATGGCTAACAAAAGCATTAGAACACAGAGGTTAAGAATACAATCTGCTGGGCACAGTGTCTCACACCTATAATCTCAGCACTTTGGGAGGCCGAATGGAATGGATCATCTGAGGTCAGGAGTTAGAGACCAGCCTGGCCAACATGATGAAACCCTGTTTCTACTAAAAATACAAAAATTAGCCAGGTGTGGTGGCATGTGCCTGTAATCCCAGCTACTTGGGAGGCTGAGGCAGGGGAATTGCTTGAACTCAGGAGACGGAGGTTGTAGTGAGCCGAGATTGCACCACTGCCCTCCAGCCTAGGCGACAAGAGTAAAATTCTGGCTCAAAAAAAAAAAAAAAAAAAAAAAAATACAGTCTAAGGTTCAAATCCCAACTGTGCCTCTTACTAGCTTTACCAGGCAATTTATAATCCTTATGTGCATCAGCTGTCTCATCAAAAAATAGCAGTAACAGCAATTAGTTCATAGAGTTCTTATGAAAACTAAATTAATATAAAGCACTTGGAACAGTCCTTGGCACCTGGTAACCATTCCATTTATACTTTTAACTATATATAAGCTAAGTGGAAAGAGCACAGATTTTTGGAACAGACAAAAAAGAAATCAACCCAACCCCATCAAAAAGAAATGTCAGTGTCACTACTGGATGAAAATCTACTGGACAACTATTTCTGGATAAACAGCATGCTTTAATTTTAACTTTCAACCTTCTCTAAAGCATACAGATGGTGACATTTTAAAAAATAAATCTTAATTCCATTCAAAGAAATATTTAAATCTCCAAAATGACCGTTTATTAGGTTTTAGAGAAAAAACAACAGGAAAAAATAAAAAGGAGCAACCCAGTTAAAGTACTATGTGGCAAAATCTTTACTGTTTTACTTTCATCTTCTCAGTTAACGTTCACAACAAACAATAAAAGGTATTATTATCAGCATTAACATTATTATTTTTATTCCAATTCTACAGATGAGGAAACAGGTTCACTCAGCTAGAGAAAGCAGGATTATACTATACTACCTAAAATAAGAAACAGCCCCTTCCATGTCTAGTGAGGAAGACACCAAAAAGTTACTTATAGTTCAGTACAAATACACCACGCAAGTTAACAATGTCAGGGAAGTATTTGGATACTATGGAAACAGGAGAGACAGCTAAGATAGAGTCAGACATTTAGGGAATATATGCTTGCATGCAGAAGAATAAGGAAGAGTGGGAATCTGCTGGACTAGTAGCAATTTACGGGATATCAATTTGAGAGAACAGGAATTGAGTCAAATGCCTTTCTTTTAAGCTATGTTTAATTTCTTTTTTTAAGAAAAATATTCATGAGGCTTTAAAAAAAAGAAAAGAAAAATATTTTTTAAAAAAGTAATATAAGGATGAATATGTTGCTTAACCCTCTGTCAGATTTAAAATTTCTGGCAGCACAAATAGTTAATCTTGATATCACCCATAACGTATATTCAAATACTGCCTTGAATTACTGAATCTGTATTTTCAGACTGAACTGTGAACTCCACCCTGCTCTTGCCCCAGTGGGGGTAAAAGAATAAGAATGCCAGTTCATTTGTTTGGGCCGACCTTACATACTTCAAAAAAAAAAAAAAAGCAACCCTTGTTTTTAAGACAGTAGAACCCTTTCTTCAAATGAACTCCCGTGGGGAAGAACAATAAATAAGATGGATCAAAGGGAAGTTACTCTAACTCTGGGTCAGCAGCCTTTTTCGGTAAAAGGCAGGATAGTAAGTATTTTGGACTCTGCAGGCCATACAGTCTCCGTCACAACTAATCAAGTCTGCTGTTGTAGTGAGAAAACAGAACAGCCAATACATAAACTAACGAGTATGGCTATGTCCCAATAAAACTTTATTTATGGACACTAAAATTTGAACTTCATATAATTTTCATATGTAACAAAACATTCTTTTGATATTTTCCCTAGCTGTTTAAAAACATTTTAAAACCCTGCCATATATGGGGTGGCAAATCTGACTCAATAATCTTAATTTGCTGACTCCTGTTCTTTTTCTTTGTTTTCTTTTTCTTTTCCTTCCTTTCCTTTCTTTTTTTGAGATAGGGTCTCACTGTGTTGTTCAGGCTGGCCTAGAATTTCTGGGCTCAAGCTATCCTCCAGCTTTAGCTTCTTGAGTAGCTGGGACTACAGGTGCAAGCCACTGTGCCCTCCTCTTCTAATAAAAGACTCAATCAAAACCAGGAGACACACTCTTGACTGCTAACTGTTCTCTGGGAAGAGACTTAGAGAGTTGGGATGAGTACAAACTTTTTATTCAAATTATAATGCCCTTTTTTACTGTACACATAACTGATGCTCTTCTCATCACTGACCCCAACATCCCTTCCTTTTCCACTTTTCCATTGAATCCTGCTTCTGGATTCAATGTGTTGCAATTTATTGTTTTGGGTAAAGTATACAGAAAAATCAAGCCTTACACAAATAATATAGTTGGAAAGGAAGAAGTATTTTAATAGTCTTTTCTGATCATTTTAAGTATCAAAGAAGAATAGCCATACCAAAACAACAAGCAATAATTTCAAATAGCTAAGTGGTAATGTAGAATATGCACCATCTGATGAGCTTTTTGCACTCTGTATACACACATGAGAATGAGAGTAAAAAAAGGCAAAGAATGTCTTAGTGTTAGAACTTGATCATTCAACATAAGATAATTTATTTTGACTTTTTTTTCTTTTACAGCAAGGGGAGGCTCCCTATTGCAACTGTTCTAACTACTGTATTTAGAGATTTGGGATATTAGGCTAATACACAAATAAATACAGGGAAATGTTTATTTTTCATAAAGCGAGTATTAGATGGTAGCTTTACAAAGGCGTGTTTTTGTGTGGAGGGTAAGGCAGAGTAGGTAGTTGTCTCTATTATGACTTTTCCTTGGTTCAAGCAAAATAAAACCCCAAATGTTTTATTTAAGTTGTTTTTTTAGAAGAGAAATAATTAACACTGGACTCAAACCATAATTTTGAAGTATCAGAGAATGTTACTGTTGCCAAAAGAAATACTAGAAACCTAGACACAGCATGTGGGAGCTCCTCAGGACATCCTTGTGGTTCACTATTCCTGTAAGTTTTAGCTGTTAGAAAACACATATCATAACACCAGAAATAATTTTGCTAAATGAAAAGTAGCCAAGAGCCTTTGGTTGCACTAAAATTGTTCTGGTGGCTGAAACATTTTTGCAATAAAAGTAAACAAAAATAGACAGGAAAACCCCAAATTTTTGCTGAAGAAAGCTCTTCAAGAAAATGTCTCATCTAAGTCCCACACTACAGGCACTTCTTGCCAGTCCTACTCCCTGAGGGCCCCACATAAAGATAACAGATCTGGCTGGGTGCGGTGGCTCATGCCTGTAATTCCAGCACTTTGGGAGGCCGAGGGGGGTGGATCACCTGAGGTCAGGAGTTCGAGACCTGCCTGGCCAACATGGTGAAACCTTGTCTTTACTAAAAAAACAAAAATTAGCCGGGTGTGGTGGTACATGTCTGTAATCTCAGCTACTTGGGAGGCTAAGACAGGAGAATCGCTTGAACCTGGCAGGTATAGGTTGCAGTGAGCTGAGATCGCACTATTGCACACCATCCTGGGTGACAGGGCCAGATCCTCTCTCAAAAAAGAAAAAAGAAACAAAAAAGAGGCAAGAGGGTAGTGAAAAACTAAAGAGACATATCACCCAAATGCAATGTATGGACCTTGTCTTGGATCCTGCTTGGAACAACTATAAGAAGGCATTTCTTGTTCTGTTACCCAAGCTGGGTACAGTGGTGTGCATGGCTCACTGCAGCCTCAAACTGCTGGGCTCGAGGGATCATCCCACCTCAGCCTCTTGTATAGCTAGTACTACAGGTATGTGCTACCACATACGGCTAATTTGTTTTTTTTTTGTTTTTGTTTTTTTCTTTTTAAGAGACAGAGTCTCACTATGTTCCCCAGGCTGGTCTCCAACCCCTGGGCTCAGGTGATCCTCCTGCCTCAGCCTCCCTAAGCACTGGGATTATGGGTATAAGCCACTGTGACTGGCCAGGGTTATCTTGGAAAACAAAAAAAAGAAGAGTTCTTAGTCTGTTTTGTGTTACTATAATAGAATACTTGATACTGCATATTTTATAAAGAAGCTTACTTAGCTCACAGTTCTGCAGGCTGGGAAGTTCAAGAGCATGACACTGGCTTCTGGCAAGGGCTCTGCTGCCTAGATACAATATGGTAGAAGGTCAAAGGGGGAGTATATATGTGCAAGGGGGCCAAGCACTAAGAATGTCCATACTTTATAACAACCTGCTCTTTCAGGAACTAATCAGTTCCCAAGAGAACTAATTCAGTTTTGAAAGAGCAAGAACTCATTCACTATTGTGATAATGGCACCAACCCATCCATGAAGGTGGA